ACCTATCACACCTGATTCTTTCGAGTAAGAAATGAGAAAATGTATGTCAAGTGCATTGCAGGCCTTGAAGTGCTAAAAATAAAATAAAGATTAGGGAATTAAGGCTCAGAGGTTAAGTGACTAGCCCAAAGATGAGGGTCCTGTGGCTTCGAGGCTACATGTGGCACTCTAGGTCCTCTAATGTGGCTCTACCTCACTTGAGGACCTAGAGGGCCACATGTGGCCTGGAGGCCACAGGTTTCCCACCCCTGGACTAGCTAGCCCAAGTTCACGCAATGCAAACAAGCATCAGAGGCAGACTTAGAACTCAAATGTTCTTAATTCCAAACCCAGCACTCTATCTACCAAACCACTCTGACTTATCTGTTGTATTTGCCTCAAGTATCCTTTATTTGGGGAAGGGACTTGATGAGCTGAATATTTTTCTTAAGGATGAAGGTTTGGATAAGTATTAAGGTTGGGTGAGTTTTTAAGCACCTGCTTAATCAGAATACACAGTCAAGTGTATGTATTCATCAAAGCCATTTTTAAAAAGGTCCTTAATCAAGCTTACTTGTGCTATTGGATGGTTATTTTATCACATGTGCATTTGGATTTGGTGCTAACACAATCTTTCATCTCCAGTGCCTAGCGCATGGTAAGTGTGTCTATCTGTCTGTCTCTATCATCATTTAAAATTCTAATTTTCAAGGTTGCCTGTTTGGGCTGGGCAAATTCCTGGAAGTGCAGATAGAATAAACTAATATCAACAAGTTTGGTATCCATGGAGAGCTGCTAAATGCCATTTTTATGTCATCTCATAATGTACTTGTTAGACTTGCTGAATGTGGTCTGCCCTATATATTGTGAAAACTGGTCATAAAGATGTATGGGGGTTTCAATTTGATGAAAACGTCTATTAAAAGTGACACTCTGATGGAATAATGGAAAGAGCTTGTCAGTAAAGGTCAGCATGTTGGATACAACTGCTTTGTGTTGTACTTAAAATTCTCATCTTATCCTATTGCCTAATGGCTGTTTGATGGACTAGAGAAAAACAAATTAAGCATCATATTCCATTTTTGTAAGGCCTCAGAGCTTTTATTTTTTATGGAGGTAAATTCAGCTTGAGTGCTTGGAGAATTAACTCAGTAATTCCTTTGCTCATTAGTAGAAATGAGCCCATAAAAAGCCTGCAACTTGAAAATTACCTTGAGGGCAAAGAGAAAAGTACCTAAGAATTTTCTCATTCTAAACAATGTTCATTGTTACTAAAAATAATGTTTTTAGATTTCAGCTCAAAATAAAATAATGAATCAATGCTATCATCTCTTAATTCATATAATATTTACATTTGGATTTATCCATTTTGTAGATTATGTGTAGAAAGTTTTATATTCCAGATGAGCTTTCTCCCACTTCCCAGCATGAGCCACCTTTATGTTCCTTGCATTGGTATGATCAGGGAATACACAATAATTCTAATATGCCAAGCAAAGCATAGCTAGTCAGGAAAATTTTTTTAGACATATGTATTCCGAGACCAACTGCAAATGGTTTTGGAATGATCTGTTCCACTGATTCGTTCATTAGCTATACTGTTAAGACTGATAGTTAATGTGCACATCTTGAATTTGATTTTCCCCCCTAAGTATCTGGTAGGAAATTAGCAACATGGCTTTCTGAGGAGAAGGGGACAAGAGCCCTTCCTTCATATCCCTCTGGCATAGTCTCTTTTTTTTAGACATAATCCAAGATGGAGGATAAAGATGCCCTGGCCAGTGCTCTCACAATCTAATTCATCAAATATCTTATTGCACTTATAATCACATTCCTAGATACATGACAGCCAGGAAATGATTTATGTAGAAATCTTTTATGAGCAGCCAGAGGAGAGTGTAAAGAAATGAACAGTGTACCCCCAGAAAATTACTGTAAGGCTTTGTTATTCCCTCAGTAGGACTGAGCCATGCGTATTACTTTTCAAGCCTCATGAAGGCAGGTGTAGTATGGGAAACTTTGAGATTTTGTTTGGGCCCTTGGGAGCGCTACCTCCTCAACTTATCCAGTATCCCCTGTGGCTCTTTAGGGCAATGCTTTGGGCAGTCTGTGGTTTGCACTGTGTAGTGCTGGACAGAATGCAGAATGAGGTAGTCAGCGAAGGGCCTGTAGCTTTGAGCCTTTTATTTTCTCCAAATCCAAACCTTGTCATTATCAGACTGTAAATTTAGAGAGGGTTTCTTGAATGTCACAGACCCCTTTGGCAGTCCCTTTACAGAATAATCTTTTTAAATATATGAAATAAAATGTGATTACAAAGTAATCAAGTATACTGAACCAAGTGTATTGAAATACATGTATCAAATTTTGAAAAATAAAGCTTACAGACTCCAAGTTAAAAACCCTGAGGGAGAGATCTTAGAGACCACTGAGTTCACTTCCCTCATTTTACTCCTACTGACCTACTGAGGCCATTAGAAGTTAAGTGACTTACCAGTGGCCAGACAGGTAGTAAGAGACAAAGGGGAAATTTAAATCTTGGTCCTCTGACTCCAAAGTCATTTATCCTTCTGTTGCACCTCATTGCAATATCCAGCCATGTCTGAGTTATAGCCCTACGCATATTTTGTTACTGAAGAGGCTCCTGTTTGAAATCTGTTGGGCCTTCTACTTCAAATCTCATGTGTTCAGTTTCAGGTCAGATAACTCTAGCAGAACCGATCGACCACCTTGCACAGACTGCCATGAAGATGCAGGATTGTAGCCATTTAGCTGCTTCTTACAAAGCTAAACGAGGGCGCTGGCTCAGACCACGTAGGCAGTGGGCAGCCAGCCCTCTCAGATCTTCATTGCTTTGAGGATTCCTTGTTTATCATTATGCCTGTTTTCTACTTGGAACACTGAGTGACTTAATTTTATGAATAGTGGGGGAAGGGGAATGCACGGTGTATTTTATAGACTAATCACAGTAGAATGGAAGAAAAAGCAGAAAGAAGGCTGGGGTGTTATTACCAGGGGAAGTGCTCAATCTGGGCTCCTCTATAAATTGTAAACACCCTGCCGGGTGCCTCAGATGTTGAACGCAGTTTGGAGTGCATTCTAATTTAGATTCCAATGACTCTATTTGGGGTTATTTTCTTCTCCTGTCAAGGAAAACATAAAGACAGACAACCCAACAGTTAGAGCCATCCGACAGTGAATGGAGCTGCCTCTAGAGGTAGTATCAGCATTTCCTCCAGCCAAGACTAGAGGACCCATTGTCAGATCTGTTGCAGAGGAAATCCTGTCCAGGTAGAGGTTGGAGAAAATTTCCCTCATCTTAGAAATTCTGATGCTGGGATGACACTATTCAGCCCAGCATTCAAGGCCCCCATGTTGTAGCTGTAACTTCTCTCTTTGAATTAGGGATCTGCAGTATGTAAATCACTGTGTTTGGTGCTAGGGGAGATACTATAAGAGAAGAGAGAATTTCCTAGCCCCGAAGAAGTTGTAGGGGTTATATTCTAGTTGGGGGGGAGGGGATATAAAATCAGGAGGCATTGACGTGTAGTGGAAAAAGCACTGGCTCTGAGGTCAAATGACTAGGATCCAAATATTTCCTGTATAGTTTTGGGGAATGCACTGAACTTTCCTGGGCCTCAGTTTCCTCATGTTAAATGGGAAGGTTGAATTAGATGGCCTTTTGAGGTCCCTTCCAACTTTTGATCCATGGTCCTATGAATTCAAACAAGTGTAACAGAAAAGAGAATGCATTGAGTGCAGAAGAGTACCTGCTTGAGAATCTTGTTTAAAACATACAGCCAAGCCCATCCATTCATTAAACTCATTTAAAAAAAAGTTTCCCCACTCCAAATTGAAACAATAAAGAAATGCCACGTGCTATGAGAATTCAGAGAAAGGAGAGGACACTTCCAGGTGTGGTTGGGGGCAGGGAAAGGGGGATCAGGAAAGAGTTCCTGGAGGAGGTAGCATTTGTGTTGAGCCTTGAAGAGTAGGTAGGATTTCAATAGGTTAACATGGCAGCAGGGCAGAGTGGGGCATTACACTGTAGTAAATATCATGACCAAGCATAATGTGTATTTGAGGCAAATGTTGTAATCTACTTTTAGCCATAGCATAGAGTACTAGGGGTATGGAAGAATGGAATGAGGCTGAAAAAGTATCCAAGAACAAGACTGTGGTGGGCCTTGAAATGCACATAGACAAATTTCTGTGGAGAATGGCCATGAAAATTTCATAGAATATTAACCTTCCCCTACTCCCCTTAAATATGTTCTCATTCTCTTTTGAATATTTTATCTGTGTCTTTCCTATTTAGTATATTCTGCTTTGTATTCTGCTTATTTGTGTCTCTCTCCTATTCTTCCTGCCCTCCCCCGCCCCAATCCCTTGTTAGATTATATTGCAGGCAATGTCTTACTCATTCTTGTATCTCCAGCAGCATCTAGTATGAGACTTTGCATGTTTGTTCTATTTGTTGAATTGAATAATAATGATAGCTGGCCATTATACCTCATTCTAAAGTTTTCAATGCCCTTTGCTTATGTTGCTTTATTTAATCTTTACAATAACTTGTGAGATAGGTGCTGTTATTTTACAGATGAGGAAACTGAGGCTGAGAGAAATTTAGAAGACCTGCTCAGGGTCACACAGCTAGCAAGTTAGCCAGAATTCAAACTCAGGCCTCCCCGTCTTCAGGTCCAGCATTATATATACATTGTACCATCTATCTAATTGGCAAATATTTACTAAGCATCCCATTTACACCCAAAATTATTTGACACTGGAAAGGATCTTACAGGATCATAAGACGTGTTCTTTACCTTCAAGGAACTTGGGGAGATAAGAATAACGTAATAGAACAATTTAATTCTGTGTGACACTGACCATAATTGTAGCAGGAGTTCAGGAAAGACATCAGCGTGGGTTGGCATGGTCAGGGAAGGCTTCATAGGAGAGGACAGAGAACCTGAAGTGGGCTTTCAAGACTTCACCTAGGAGTTAATATTTGTGTGTTACAGACACCTGGAAGAGGACTACAGAGGAAAATTGTCCCTACTTCGATCTGAAATTGAGATGGAGCGAGAGATGCTCTGGCAGCAGGTGAACAGACAGAGAGCCAAGCTTGAAGCAGACATTGAGTATCTACAAGGGGAAGAGGTGTGCCTTCAGGAGAAGCTGACCTTGGCCTTGAAGGTAGGGAAGACCTCTATACTGGGCCATCTGCACCAATTAGAAGATTTTGGTTTTATTGCTACCTCCCCCCCCGAAAAAAAAAGTACTATTTTAACATAGTTAAAACAAACTAGTAATCCTACAGCTTAAAGTCAAAGAGCCCATTTAGGGTCCTTCTGTACTCCAGTACTGTGCTCCATTCAGGAAGTGAAAAGGTGGAAATAAGCATTTATATAGCACCTATTATATTCAAGACATTGTACTAAGTGCTTTCTTTTTTTAATAAATATTATCTCATTTGATCTTTACAACAACCCTCTAAAGTAGGTGCTGTTATCATCCACATTTTACAATTGAGGAAACTGAGGCAGACAGATTAAATGACTATCCACTGTACCACCTCACTGCATAGAATTTGATGAGATCACAATAGATAGTATATAGTAAAAAGAGAATGGAACCCAGGACAAAACCTTGAAGGATACTCATAGCTGCTAGATATAGTACAAATGAATTTCCAGCAAAGAAGACTGAGAAAGAATGTTTAGAGGGCGGCTAGGTAGCACAGTGGATAGAGCACTAGCTCTGGAGTCAGGAGACCTGAGTTCAGATCCGGCCTCAGACACATAATATGTCCTAGCTGTGTGACCCTGGGCAAGTCACTTAACCCCAATTGCTCCCCCCCCAAAAAAAAATTTTTAAAAAGAAAAATATTATATTAGATAAACAGCCCATGTAGAAGAATTAATAATTAATTGAAGCCTAAAACAACTTCATCCTAAAGAATTAATCCAAAGAATAAATCACAGAAACAGGAGAAAATCTTATCAGAGGAGGGGAAAAAGATGAGATTTGACAAAAGAACATCAGATTTGGCAATTGCAAGGTCATTGGTAACTTTGGAGAGGGCAGTTTCGGTTGAATGATGAGGTCAGAAACCCACTTATAGAATATTAAGAAGAGAGTAAGAGGCGAAAAAGTAGTGGTAACTATTAGGTATAGACACCTTTTGTCAAGGAGTTAAGCCAAAAAGGGGAGGGGAGATAGCACATTATAGCTAACAAACATGGTCAGATCAAGTAAGGGTTTTTTAAGGAAGGAGAAAATATGTACGTGTTTGTAATCAACAGGGAAAGAGCCACTGATTGGGGGGAGGGGGAAGAGAGAGAAAGAGAAAGAGAAGATGGTAGTGGAGGCAATCTGCTGGAGAAGAAAAGAGGGAATGGGATAAAGGATACATGTGTGGGAGTGAAATAGGAAACAGTGGGTGATGTCTGAGTAACGTAAAATAAGGAAAGAATAGGGGAGAAGGTGGGACTCTTGGTGAATGACCTTAGCTTTTTTTAGTGAAATATGAAGCATTAAAGAGAACATTAATCTGTATGTTTAAGTTCCCCAGCATGAGAGAAGGGTGGAGAATGGCCTGCCTTTCCTTCATTAGTATGACAGGGAAAGACTACATAACTTGACAGTTTTCTCTCTCATTTCCTGGTATTTGCAAACACTAGTCTCTTTTCTCATGACATCTGGGTTTCAGTCATTTTCAAAGCAAAATATTCATTCACAGAATACAGCAAGATAATACCTTACAAATCATTTCTTGCCAAACACATTATTATTGGAGCCTCTGTGAATAAAAAAAATGTATCCTTTTGAGAAGGTGACAGTGAATTCCACTTAAATTTTACATTGAGAAGCTTCATTTGCCCTATTGAACAAGGCCCTAAATTTGGATCCAGGGAGACCTGGGTTCAAATGTCACCTCATACACAATAAATCATTTCACTTATTTATGCTTCAGTTTCTTCATCTATAAAAGGGGAAGATTTGGACTTGATGGCTGTTAAGAGAGACCTAGAACTGATCCCACGAGCTCCTGGACCTCCGTTTCCTTATCTATAAAATGGGGGTGATAATACCTATAGTTCTCATCTTACAATGATGTTGAAAGGTTAGAATGAAAAAGCATATTATAGAACCTTGCAAACTTTGAGGCATTATATAAACTTTAATTGTCATTATCCTTTTTTATTTATTATGATTTATCAATAATCACTTCCATATGCTTTTGATTTTAAAATTTTTCTCCACCTTCCTCCCCACCTCAAGACAGTGCACAGTCTGATAGAGGCTATATATATATACATTCTTATTAAACATATTTTCAGATTAGTGATGTTGTAAGTAAGAATTAGAGCCAATAGGAGGAACCACCAGAAAGAGGAAGCAAAATTTAACAGAAGAGAAAAAAAAATAGTAAATAGTATGCTTCAATCTACATTCAGATTCCATAGTTCTTTCTTTGGATGTGGATAGCGTTTTCCACCATGAGGCCGTAGATCCTTGTATTGCTGGGAAGGGTTAAGTTTTATCAGTATTAGTCATCACACAGCATGGCTGTTATTGTGTACAACATTCTCTTGGTTGTGCTCACTTCATTCAGCATCAGACCATACAAGTCTTTCCAGGTTTTTCTGAAGTCTGCCTGCTCATCATTTCTTATATCACAATAGTATTCCCTTACATTCATATACCACAACTTGCTCAGCCATTCCCCAATTGATGGGCATCCTCTCAATTTCCAGTTCTTTGCCACCACAAAAAGAGCTCCTATGAATATTTTTGTACATGTGGTCCTTTTCCCATTTGTATGATCCCTTTGGGATATAGCCTTAGAAGTACTATTGCTGGGTCAAAGGGTACACACATTTTTATAGCCCTTTGGGCATAGTTCCAAATTGCTCTCCAAAATGGCTGGATCATTTCACAACCCTACCAACAATGCATTAGTGTTCGAATTTTCCCACATCTTCTCCAACATTTATCATTTTCCTGTTTTGTCATGTTGGCCAATCTGATAGGTATGATGTTGTTTTGATTTGCATTTCTCTAATCAATTTAGAGCATTTTTTTCATGTGACTATAGATGGCTTCAATTTCCTTACCTGAGAACTGCCTGTTCTTATCCTTTGACCATTTATCAGTTGGGGTTGTCATTATCTTTTGAGGAATGGTGTCACATCCCTTAACCAGGGATTACTTATTACCGAGTATCTGCACAAACCTTTGCCTTCACTCTCATTTTATTATTGTTTTCTGTGCTTTTAATATTATTGAATATTCTAGGATTTTCATGGAAGATAGACTAGAAAGAAACATCTTTTAACATAGTTGTCCTTTCATTAAATTCTCACACTTGGTCTTGTAGGAAAATAGTCGCTTACAGAAGGAAATTGTGGAGGTCGTGGAAAAGTTGACAGCATCAGAAAAGCTGGTATCAAAGCTACAGAATGATCTTGAATTTGTGTTGAAAGACAAGGTAACCCTCCTACTTAAACTGGCCTTTGCTCCTGTCAGAAAGGGTCCCTGGATTGGGCTTGGGTGAGAGGTGCTGTGTACATTTGGTAACTCAGGCTCTTTATCTAAAATTTTTGGCACCTAGAAGAAGGGCAGTGACATAGGCGTGAGCTCAGTCCGCTTTCCTATCTAGTATTTTATAATGAAGGAAGGACTAATGGTGTCATTCAGTTTGCCCAAAGGTTCTTTTTATTTCTCTGGAGTTTTCACTAAGATGAAAGGATCCTTATTATACCATCAGACTCCCCCAGGCAGTTGTCCAAAATTCATTTCACAGAATGTTAATTAAATGACTTAACTTGTGAAAGAAATTATATTTAGGTAAGCAAAAAACAATAAGATGTGGTCTCTACCTTTTAAGTTTTTCACAAACTGTCTCATTTCAGAAATTTGAAGAGACAGACCAGGTTGATAAACCTGCAGCAAACATTTATTAGTAGCCCCTGTGTACTCAAAGTACAACCTCATACAGTGGCAGGCTTTTGGAATAATCACAAGTGAAACCTGGAAATGAGGAGCTGCCAGACACATGTGCCAGCCCCCATCATCTCTGCCACATCTATTGTCACCACCATTGTGCGACTCTCCAGGTGTCACTATTGGAGCATAGGGAGAGGGGAGGAGAACGGGCAGCAAGGACTATTACCTTATCCAGCTGTGTAATTGGCTGTGCCAGGGAGAACCTCATGAGTTCCATCTGCTGTGGATGCTAAACTTGTTAAAGAAAGCAAAAAAGGAGTCATTCATTTTGACAGGGTATGGTCCCTGCATACAGGCACCCCCACCCTACACAACTTTGCTTGAACTTTCCTAACTGGTCCTGGCATTTGCCTGAGGGTATAATCCTTTCAACTGGCCTTTCATTTGGCCCTTGTTGTCTGCACCTGCCCCAACCTTAGAGTGCCAGGGTTTGATTCCATCTAGACCCCTTCCACGGTGGCCCAGGTCCCTGGTGTTCGCCTGGGGCACTCGGCCCTTCTCTAATATCTCCCAGTAACCCCAGACCTCTTGGCCAGTCCTTGATCTTTCTGTATATGAGGTCCATCTTGTCCCCGTTCAGATTCCTTAAGCGTCTGGCCTGGTTGTATTGGCATCACAAAGGCTCAGATTCCTTAAGAGTCTGGCCTGCTTGTCAATACAAGCATCACCAATTCTTAAAATCTCGCCCACTCTGACTGGTATTCTATTAAACTTTGTCTTTGGCTGAAAGAAGGCTTGGGTTCAATTCTTTCCAGGCAGGACCTGCTTTGCTTGCCCTTGAATTTCAGGGGCCCAGCACTCCTAGACCTCAGCAATTTGATAGTTTATTAATATTATGAATAAGGACTGGATGAACTTAGAACAAGTACTGAGCACCCTACATGGTAAGCAAAGGGGGAAAAAAGCCTTTATTGAACACCTACGGGGTGTCAGGTACAAAAAGACAGTCCCTGCCCTCAAGGAGCTGATAGTTGAATGTGGGGGGAGGGAGGCAACAAGTGAACAAACATGTACAAACAAGATATATACAGGATAAATAGAAAATAATTAATAGAGGGAAGGTGCTAGAATTAAAAGAGGTTGGGAAAGGCTTTTTATAGAAAATGGGACTACAGAGGAATAAAAAGTACTACACAGTATAGGTAAGTGTTGTTACTGTAAGCTGATTGGAAAGAAAGTCAGATCCCTCTGGCAGTCTCAAACCTTTTCATCCCTGACTCCAGCAAGAACAACCAGCTGATTTGAGAAAGTTGATGTGAGCAATTCTTTTTAACTTCCAGTGGGCCTGTGAGGTGGGAATCCAGCATCACTGTTGGAGGGCAAACCTGTGTTAAACTGCCTCTAGCAAAAACCCTTGCTGTCAATGAGCCTTTTACAGGTGGTCTGGGTGTGGTTCCAGTAAAATAAGTTACTGTCCCATTCCTAGCCCAACTGTACCACAAGTCATGTGACTAGAGACTCTTACTTTCCTTCTTAAGATCACACAGCTTTTATTATTCAGCTCCCTTTAGTTTTGTTTGTAGACAGGTATTCTCAGAATATCAGTAGACCAACATCTAATTTCTCCCAAGTTAAGGCAGATTATATATAGAATGACATTTGGAAGAGTTCTGACCAGTTCCTGGGATAGAAATGTTGAGGCAAATAATGTTAATTTGTGGTTTTCTAGTGGATCCTTACATATGGTTTAGCAGTCTCCATTTCTTTTTTTGCCTTTTTTTCTTTTGTCTTTTAGCAGTCTCCATTTCTATTTGAGTTTGGGTTAAAGTTCAGCTGATCCATCACAAAGCGCCATAGAAGTGAGTCAGGCTGAGAGACTGAGTATTTTTTCCCCCTTTATTTGAGCTGCAGTTGGAAAGGGATATTTTGTTTCCTTCTTGTCATTTGCGTCTTCTGGTTGAGCATAATAAAAATTTTATTTATTGGATTTTCAGCTAGAGCCACATAACCCTGAGCTCTTCAGTACAGAAGAACGGATCACAGAAGTTATAAAAGAATATGAACTCAAGTGTAGGGTATGTACCTCTGGGAAACTCCATTGCAAAAAGCCTTTGCAAAAATTTTTCTCTCTCTGCCTGCTGAGAAGTCATGTGCCTTTTCTATGTAACTTAGTGGAAATGGAGGAGATATGTAATTTCTAGTTTAATTTTTTTTTTGTTTGGAGCAGGTAGAGAACATTTTGTCTCTTGGGCAAAAAGCTTTCTGTATCTCCTGACCTGACTGCTGCTCCTAAACTTCCATGTTTCTCAAGCCCCTTTTGTCTGATACTGCTGTGCTCTTCTTCTAAGAGAGCATCCCACCAGCTTCATAGTTACACGGTAGAAGTACTAGCATACTCATCTGGCCTCCAGTGATAAATATAAAAGGTGCCGGGAGCTCCCTTCTCTTCTGTTGTCAGTTAGGACAATATTATTATTGATGACTCCGTTGTTAGTTAGTAATGTGTTTCCCCCTGAAGCCTTTCCATGCCCAATCAAGGGGCAGCAGAACTAAGATTCCTCAAATTTGCACTGGATTAAACCTAGGTGCTGGAATCAGAAGCCTTCCTCTGTTCTTCACTTTGTTATATTATTATTCTTCTCATGGTCATCATCGTTATTATTGAAAGTAATAATAAGTAATATTAAAAATAATAATAATAATAAGGTATTTTAAGGGCAGCCAGGTGGCACAGTGGATGAAGTGCTGGGCCTGGAGACAGGAAGACTCATCTTTCTGAGTTCAAATCCAGTCTTGGGCACTTACTAGCTGTGTAACCTTAGGCAAGTCGCTTAACCCTGTTTGCCTCAATTCTTCATCTGTAAAATGAGGTAGAGAAGGAAATGGCAAATCTCTCTAGTATCTCTGCCAAGAAAACCCCAAATGGGGTCAGAAAGAGTCAGACACAACTGAAAATGACTGAAATGATGCTTTAAAGTTTGCAAAGTGCTTTACAAATATTCTCATGAGGTGATAATCAAAGGTGGCTTAGCACCCTAAAAGCTACATAGTCAGTCCTCCATTTTAGGAGGAATGTGTACCAGTGTGGGAAAAGGCAATAAATTACTTCATTCTCATGCCAAAGTTATGTTGAAAGGAAAATTCTTCATTTATGCTTTCACGTTGATTAACAAGGCAAAACTCAGGACAAAAGAATTAAGAGGAGTTTATTATAAATATGTCAAGGTAACAAGACATTGGCTGATCACTGAAGGTCAGCAGTGGCTTCAAGGTGGAGCCAACTTTTATCGGTAACTTTGAGACAATTTAGTTAGGTCCACCTCAGCAAAAGAGGTTGGACTCTTGCATCTCAGTTCCTCCCCAAGCAGCAAGAACGTGACAATTTACAGGTAGAGGTACAAAGGTCACAGGTAGGGGATGACTTGGCTGTGTGACCAATATCTGGAGACTAGGTGACACTTCCCCCCAAACTGATTAACAAGAAGGACTGAGAACTGTGGGATACTGAGTCAACAGATAACTTTCAGTAGTAGCATTTATCCCTGATTCTGTCTTTTAATAAAAGCTTGTTCGTCCTTCTTTTCTTCCTCTTATATGTCTAATTGCCTATTGGATTTTTAAATCTCTTTTAAATTTAAATCTCTTCACAGTCTGGTTTCTTTCTGCCTTTCTGGTCTTCTTACATATTACTCCCTTCCACACTGTCTGTGGCCCAGTCCCACTGGTGCATTTGCTGTTCTACACCCATGACATCTTATCTCCTATCTCTGTACTTTTGTCTGCATTGCAATCCCTTCTCACATCCATCTCTAGAAACTTCCAGTTTCCTTTAAGGTTCAGCTCATGAGACTTCTACATGAAGCCTTCTTTGATCCTTCCTTTTTTGATGCCCTAAAACCATTTTGTATATATACATACATGAATATATATGTGCGTATACATATACACACACATACACATGTATGTATATATAAAATATTCTGGCACCAGCTCTAATGGGCCATATAAGAGCAGCTTGTTAAATTTTCAGTCTGAACATTGCACCTCAGAAATCAGCAAAGGCTAAAAATCAGGGTTTGATTTATTATTTTATTGATTATTTAGACTTAAAGTGTTAATAATACAGATTAAACTTGAAGGTGTTTGTGCATACATTTTTTTCCTCTGGCAAATTCAGTTGTTACACATTACTGGCACCCCACTGTATTGCTCTATTCATGTTGCTAGACCTGAGCTCAGAGAATGTAGACTTCACCAAATAATAACTGGTATCAGTATAGAATTTTAAGGTTTGCAAAGTTATTTACATCCACTAGCTCATTTGAGCTTCATCACACTCCTGTGCATATGTGTATATATACATACACACAAATACAAATACACCTTAACGTACACATACATATAGTTGTGAGAATTTTACTGCCCAAATAAGCCAACACAAGATGGGGGTTGGGGGATGAGCACAGAGAAGGGAGAGACAGAGACAGAGACAGGAGCCTGAGTAAGCTGGTAGGACTCAGGTATTTAAATTGTTATTAAGGAATATATGTATCCTTGTTAGCATAGCCATTTACAGTAGATCAAAGAAATCAGTACCTTCTTTATTCGTCAGTCCAGCATTGGTTTAGCTTTATTTAAATAGAATAAAGAGACTGATTCTCCCTGAGTTTTCTTTTGTAATTGTAAAGTGATTGGGGAAGAGGAGTATCGATGGAGACATTCAATAGGCTAGAGGCATCATGCTATAAAAATACATGTATACATGTAAACATTATTATTGCTATTGATTGATAAATTAATATGTGGAAACATGCAAAACACTAGTCTTAAGTCCTGGATCTGGAATTGAACGATGGAAAAAGCAAAGTCCTTTTCTTTTAAAAACATTTTATTTTTTCCTCAATTACATATGAAGACAATATTTAAGATTCATTTTTTAAAATTTTGAGTTCCAAATTATCTCCCTCTCCTGCCTCCTCATTGAGAAGACAAACAATTTGATATAGGTTATACATGTGCAGTTATGTGAAACATGTTTCCGTATTAGTCATGTTGTGAAGGAAAACACAGCCCCCCCAAAAAAACCAACAAGAAAAATAAAGTTAAAAAAAAGTATGTAGAGCAAAGTCTTCTCTAGGCTTCTGTCCCTGATGATTTATATTCCATTAAGTCTTTCAAGTTCTGTAATCAAGTGTATTTTGGAGAAAGAGTAGTCAGCAATGCATTAGGGTTTGTTTTTTGGAACAATGGATTGTTTTTTTTTTAATATGTCTTAAGGTGATTCTATCAATATATGTTAAACTAGTTCAGGTAAATGGGGTTTTGCTCATTCCATCAGTCAACAAACATTTAAATGTTTACTATGTGCCCAGCACTGTGTTAAGGTACTGTGGATGCAAGAAAAGGCAACAGGAAGCTTACTCTTTAATGGGGAGATAACATGTAAATAATCAAGTACACATAAGACACATTCAATAAGACACATAACAGAGTAAATGAAGGGTCATCTTAGAAGAAAAGGCTCTAACCAGAGGGAGGGAGAGGGAATTGGTGGGGGTAAGATCCCTGCAGAGGGTGACATTCGAGCTCAGTAATCTCTTGAATGTGGGTAAAATTCTTAATAAGACTGCTAGGTGGTGAAGTGGATGGAGTGCCAGGCCAGGAGTCAGCAAGACTCATCTTCCTGAGTTTAAATCTGGCCTCAGACCCTTACTAGTTGTGTGACCCTGGGCAAGTCACTTAACCCTGTTTGCCTCACATTTCCTCATCTGTAAAATGAGCTGGAGAAAGAAATGGCAAACTGCTCTAGTGTCTCTGCCAAGAAAACCCCAAGTAGGGTCATGAAGAGTCAGACGCCACTACAGAACAACTCGACAACAAAATTCACAAACTATTAAATTCACTGTTTTAGTAATAATAATTTAAAAATCGCTCCTTCCTTGAAGCCCAAACTGTTGTCCATATCGTGAGGGGAATGGGGTAAACATGAGGGAATGATTGTGTGTGCCCTGAGACTGCTATGGATCTGTAAAAGCCTAGAAAGAACCTTGAAACATCAGCCAAAGGAATGAAGAGAAGGTTGCGCTTAGTAGGCACCAGTACTAAATCACAAGAGTGGAAACAGATCCTAGCAGTTACAGGCAAGCATTTCACAGTGTTTACTGTCAGTGATGTCCTTACCTCTAAGTTGCCTGGATCCATTTGAGGCAATTGTAAGAAATAACGTCATGCCTAAACCCAGATTAGATGAAATAAGAATGGAAATTGAGGAGTTACTTTAATCTGAAGAGGAAAAAGCCTAAAATCCAGAAGGTTTTCATAATATATACTTAATGCAAGAACGCTTAATGCAAACTCCAGAAGTGCCAATATGTAATGAAACAGATGGCAAAAATAATGCTCATGTCTCAAGTGATTTTGACAAGATAGGGGCAGAGTTAAAATGAAATTTTGAAAAGCCCTTTTTGAGTTCCATGGAATGAATTAAACTGACAGACCAATTATATCAAAATAAAGTAATTCAGAAAAGCTGATAGAGGTTCTAGTATGAACTCATGCAATCTCCTACGATATAAAAACATTTCAGGCAGTAGTATGGCTGTTAATATAGCTAAAAAATATAGTTGTGGTCATTGCAATGTTCAGGAACTTAAGAGGAAAGGTAGGGGCAGCTAGGTGGTGCAGTGGATACAGAGCTAGTTCTGAAGTCAGAAAGACCTGAGTCCAAATGTGGCCTCAGGCACTTACTAGCTGTGTGACCCTTGGGAAAGTTACTTAACTCTGACCTGAAGAAGAAAATGGCAACCACCCTAGGATCTTTGCCAAGAAAACCCTAAATGGGATCACAAAGTGTTTGATACAACTGAAAAACACCCCAACAGCACACAGCAGTAAATTTGAACACACTATACTCACCAATTTAAAACAATGAAAAAGAAACTTGTAAAATAGAATCTAGAAAAATACAAGTATATTCAGAAATTTTCAAGATCTTTGATCTACAACTAAAAGTCAAAGTCAAAAGGTCAAGTTGATACAAGGAAGAAAAAGCAGTGAAAGAAACAGACTAGTTATACGCCTATCAAAAGTTTGAGAAGCAAAAAAAATTAGAAACGGAGAGGCCTCAGAGAAAGAGGATATAGAAAATTTCTGGTTGTCTACTCATAAAGTTGAAAGTTCAATATAGTGAAAGCACAAGATGGATCAAAAAGTTGGATATATCTGTAATACACTGAATGATGGAACCGTTTATGGTAAATGAAGGAAATCCATATGTTTTAAATAAATGTTATTGTTCAACCATTTTTCAGTCGTGTCTGACTTTTTGTGACCCCATTTGGGTTTTTCTTGGCAAAGATACTGGACCAATGCACAGCTCCATATCAGCAGTGTATTAGCAGAATACTGACACATAAGCATCTTATTTCTTCCTCTTTTTTGGCCTGATTTCATCACCATGAGAGTGTGCAATAACAACAACAAAAAAGACCTGTTAATAGTTAATGACAGCAGTATTGCCAGAATTATGGTAAATTATATTAATTTCACTTCAATTTAATGTAACCTTGCAGCTAAATAGCTAATGTCAGTCAAACATTTATTAAGTTCCTACTATGTGCTAGGTACTGTATTAAGTGCTGCTCTTTCCTTCCTTCCTCAACTTAGTTGTATCATACAGATAATATAGAAATATCTCTCTTTAGGAAAATCCAGTATACAAAAATCCATGTGTTTTGAACAAATACAGTATTGTTCAATCATTTTTTAGTTATGTCTGACTTTTTGTGACCCCATTTGGCGTTTTTTGGCAAAGATGCTGGAACAGTTTGCCATTTCTTTCTCCAGTTCATTTTACAGATGAGGAAACTGAGGCAAGCAGTAGACTTGTCTAGGATCACACAGCTAGTAAGTGTCTGAGTCCAGATTTAAACTCAAGGAGATGAGATTCCAGGCCCAGCACTCTGTCCATGTGCCACTTGGTGGCCCGTTAAATAAATGTACTGAGGTGATTATTAATATTATAGATTTTTTTCCTCTTTACAGAAAATTCACCATGAAGTTCGTTTAACTATCAAGCTCCTTTAGAAAATTTAAAATATGATTTACACCTAACTTGTTGGGAACAGATCTAGTACTTTAAAGGTGACATAGCTGTGGTTAAAATTAACATTTAAAATGCAACTAACTCCAGATGTGTGGTTATGGATTGTTACCTGAATACCTCTAAGTGCAGTTATCTCCTGTGCACATAATTCCTTCCTTTGTGTTTTTTTTCCTCCTTTAAAATCAGCAGTGATAGTTGCTTGCCTCTGATTCCCCTTCACATCCACATCTATCTATGCCCATCTGGCTTTGGTGTAGATTAACTGTAACCTCATCCTGTGGTTATTTCTGTTGATATTATCATTGTTAAATATACCAGTGAATACCATAAAATAATTTTACATGATTTGTTTATTGTACTGGGAGAAAGAACACTCGATTTTGGAAGAATAAGTGAATTGTAAACTCATTGGTCACTGTAAAAACTGATATTGTTTTAGTTTGGTTTGCATCTTTTAAAGCTCTATTAATAAAGTATTATCAACATTCTGCTTATTCCCCTTCTGACCTAAAAACAAACGAAAAAACCTTTGGTGTTGTTGCTGCTTCCTTTCGGAATTACTAGAGGGTAAAGGTGAGCTTTTGTATCATTCTGAAGTGTGTGCATGAGAAAAGTACTTTGGTGTTCTCCCCTATCATCTCTGCATGGTGGCTTGTTCCAGCAATATAACCCCACACATAGTGGGGATGTGTGCATAAGTATTTTTTCCATGGAATGGTTGTGTTTGTCTTTTGAAAATTGTATTAAATGGATAGCCTAATAGCCCAGCTTTTTAAACTTTCTCTCTGTGTGTGTGTGTGTGTGTGTGTGTGTGTGTGTGTGTGTGTGTGCGTGCGCACACACATATGCAGGGTTGGGGAAATAGGGGTGAAGATGATGGGGTAGAGCAGGGGTGGGGAACCTGAGGCCTTGAGACCACATGTGGCTTTCTAGGTAGCCTTTTGACCGAATCCAAGTTTTACAGAACAAATCCTTTTATTAAGGGGATTTGTTTTGTGAAATTTGGATTAAGTCAAAGGACTCTACTTGAAGATCTAAAAGGCCGCAGGTTCCCCACTCTTTGGGTAGAGGAATAAGCTAGACAAGAAATTTTTACTAAAAGTTAGGGTTGTTTTCTCCTTTGACTTGAAAACAGTTCCACAATTGGGTGTCAGTTCAGTTACCATTTTGACGTTAACTAGGCTAGGTTTGGGTTTTTTTTCCTTCATTCTGAAGGTTGACTCATAGATGAGTTGTTCCTTCCCTTGATGTGATTTATCCATGACCCATTCCAAATTTGGTTTACCACATATATCTTTAAAAGGGATACTTACTGTTTTGTTTTAGGTTGTTGAAAATTTGTTACTAAATCTTCAGAAGAGATGGTTTCTGTATTCTTGCTTTGCTTCTTATTTGGAAACTACTGTCTTTTCTGTCTCCTCTTCCCTTTTCCTAAAGTGTGAGTGAGTGAGTGTGTGTGTGTGTGTGTGTGTGATGGACTTTTTGGAAGTCTGGTGAAACCTATGGATCCCTTCTCAGAATAAATTGTTTAAATGTGTAAAATGTAATACAGAGGATTACAAAGAAAATCAATTTAAGAAAAATTTTTTTTTGTATTTTTCAAACTTTGAGTTCCAAATTTTCTCTTTTCCTCCCTCTCTACCTCAGCTCATTGAGAAGGCAAGCAGTTTGGTATAGGTTATACATATGTAGTTGTGTGAAACATATCCATGATAGTCATGTTATGAAAGAAAATGGGGGAAAAAACCAAGAAAAATAAAGTTTAAAAAAAGTATGCTTCAATCTGTATTCAGATACAATCAGTTCTTTCTCTAGGGATGGATAGCATTTTTCAGCGAAAATCAATTGTTTTGAAATACAGTTATTAATTTTTAAAGTTCATAGGCCCCAGATTAAGAACACTTGCTCAATATCCAGTTGATGTAATAGTTGAAACTAGTCTGCAAGATAGGAGGCTTATAACCAGAGAGGAAGGGAGAACAGAGACCTGAGCAGTCAGTCATTCCTGTTTTGTCCTTTCAGTTTTAAGTTATGTTATTACTTTTTCTTTATTGTTGATTTTTCTCTTGTTGCTGACTTTTTTATTATCAAATTTTAATTCAGTTTTTTTCCCCACTTAAATTCTACAAAAAGTCTTGCAGAACACAGAATAGGATGATTAAACTAATTATACTTTGGAATTCCCAATCACAGAACCTCAGACCTGACCTTTTACTTTCACTTTTGCAGATGTAATCTCTGTAGATTCAGCCTACTCTATTAGACAAAAGTCTGATCTATTTCCACTAAACCTGTAGCTCAGTCTAGAAGGTTATTTCATTTCAGTTACCAACCCTGCAGTGTTTCAGAATTCCCCCTTGGAAGTGATTTATTTTCCTGTTGTTTGGATCTCTTTATCTCTTCCCCCCCTCCCCCTTTATCTCTTTCTTAACTGGTTTGCTTTACACCTGCAGCTATAAAATAAAGGCAGGAGGAGAGGTCAGGACTCTTTCAACCCAGCACCATCCAGGTGGTTCACTTGTAGTTCTCAGGGAGATTTATGTGGTACCCACCAATTAAATTTTCCTAGTCCAATTTGCTTGCAAAATAAGATATCGCCCTTGTAATGTCATTGAGCTTCTTAGAGAAGGAGGGATGAACAACCTGGTACAGAAAAAAAAGTTCCCAGAGGATACCCAGAATCAATGAATGAAAAAGTATTTATTAAGCACTTAGGATATACTGGGCACCTCACTAAGGGCTGGGCATACAGATATATGTAAGTGTGGAGGAAATGTACAAAGCCTGTGTGCTGTGAGTTTTGGGGAACATCCCCCAGAAATGGTAATTTTAGAGGTCAAAGAATGTAGCCTGCAGGGTTGTGTAAATAAAGAGAAACTCTCTGATTCCATCTTATCTCGCATCCAACCTAGATATTCTGAGGAGATTAACTACCAGAACAGACCAGATCTTGGGCTTCTAGGTTACTTCAAAGTTAAGACACCCAGCCCCTGTCACCTGATGACCTGTCTCACTTAGCAAAATAAGGAAAGTGTCTGAGCAGCCTGGCCTAATAGATCCTTTTAGACTGTTTTTGCCATGAAACTGTGTAAAACCCTATACATGTATTATCTCCCTCTTTTCTGAGGAGTTGTTAGCCACCCAACTACACATCAGTTGATGGTTAATTAAATTTTTTATCTTCTAGCCTTGCCTCTGGATTTATTGACCTTCATTCAAAGGGACCTAGGTGGGAAAAATTACTCTCTGGGAGGGACTTAAGATCCCCAGTCTGAGAAATTCCCCTACACAAGCAAGATCCTTCTTCCACTGAAGGAATTTTCATGTCACATCATGACATACTCAATTCAGCAAACATTAAAATTTCTCTCAATAATAAAGATAAGAATAACAGTGCTTGCCTAAAAGCTCACATATATGGAAATTATCTGTAGGCTTGGTTACTATTAAAGCCCATTTTTGTAGTTGGGGAGGAGGAAAATCATGCCAGAATCCTTGTTTCCTTATACCCCATTAGAGTGAGCCATTAGAAATGGGGGCAATCTCAAGTCAAGTCTGGAAAACTTTTCCTTTCTCTTGAAGTTTGACTGACTTTAGCTGTGTCCATAGCTTTATTCAGTGCGAAATATGAGATCCTTTGCACCACTTGAAGAGAAAGCATAATTTTTTAAAAAGTTGAATTTGCAATTTGGTGCTCTTATAGGTTATTTGCAAACTTTGACTTTTTGCAATTTGTCTGGGATTTAATTATTCTTGTTTTTTTCCTTAATTATCTCTGTAATTGTTTTTGAAACTTGATTCTGCTAGTTAGCTCAGTCGAGATGGCATTTTTTTTTGCTATAATTGATTACTCCAGTGTAGACTAGGTGTATCTTTTAAAGGCTTTGTACTTGAAAAGGCTACCTTGAGACTGTCATTATTTTTGAATCCTTATAAGTGTTTATATGTGCTTTTATCATAATCATTTTTGTGTGTGATGTTTCATATTGGGAGGAAAACTGGCACCCTGTTTTATTTAAAACTACTGAAATCTTTACTACCAAATCACAACTGGGAAAAAATATTTAAGCATCACTGTCGAGGATTTCAATTCTTTTTACACCTTGATGCATAGATCAGAGCACCTGGAATTTCAAAAGCTGTCAACTCTTTAACTTCATTTCTTTATTTCTTGTTACATAGGTAAATTAATCAATTAAGTATATGAGTTCCTACCTGTTATCTGGAGTGCATTATTATTGGTATCATGGGTAAGATGCTAAGGAAATTGAAGCTATGGTCCCTGATCTCAAAGAGATTAGTATTCCTCTTGGAACTTAAAATCTAGTTAGCAGCTTATCTGGCTGATGTTACAGGTTACTATGTACAGAACACCTGAGAGACAGAAAAAACATAGGGAACGTAAACTACACAGTGCAAATTTCCTTATCCTAATTTTTTTTCCCTATGGCTCTTTTATATCTGGTCTAATTTCCCAAGAGTGTTAAGTCTGTGATTTGTCTCCTGCAAGTTGGATTGAGTTTGTGTGGCTGTGCCCCTTACCTTACAGGACCTAAGTGACAGGAATGATGAGCTGCAAATCGAGTTGGAAGGCCTGCGCTCCCAGCTGCATGAAAGCAAATACCGTCATTCACGGAGTCCAGAGAAGGACAGTGTGCCAGATGGATACATTCTCTATGCTGATGATCAAGAAGGTAGAACACTTAAAAATGTACAGAATAGGTTTGGAAATAAACAACCTTAGAGCGTTCTTTCTTCTATGCTGATGAGTGAGGTCTCCTCCTTGATTCACTCAGGGTGGATGCTCCTGAACATAAATTGACATAAAGTCATGTTTGGTTCTTCCCACTATACTTTTATATTGAGGAAAAGGCCCCAGCAACCTAAGGCTGAAGAGTATCTATAAAACAGTGGTTAAAGGAAATGAAAAATGAATGGAAAAAGGATGGAAAGCATTGTGAGATTTAGAGACCATGTTTTAGATGTAGAGAATAAGGCATAGGGAGAGAGTTCATTGCCTAAAGCCACATAGATAGTAAATAGCAGAAGTTAAATTTCAACTCAGGTCTCCTGCCTTTAAATCCTGTGTTGCTCTACTACAACATGCCACTTCTTGTATCTTGTTATATATCTTGTTTGTATATAGATGTTTTCATGTTGTCTTCCCTCTTAGATTGTGAGCTTCCTGAGAGCAGGGACTGTCTTTTCCCTTGCTTTGTGTCCTTAGCTCTTAGCACAGTGCCTAGCACATAGAAGGTACTTAATGAATGCGTATTGACTGGCTCTTGGTGCCCAGGGGAGACAGATTGTCACTGCAGAGGGGGAAAAAGTGTGTGTGTGTGTGTGTGTGTGTGTGTGTGTGTGTGTGTGTGTGTGTGTTTGTGTCTGTGTGATTAAAGCAAATTTCAAATGAAGATCCTCCTTTTCTCCCCCCATATCCCCTAGCTCACCAATTGAGAAAGCAAGAAAAACAAAACCCCTTTACAAACATGTGTAGTCAAGTGAAACAAATTCCCATAATGACTACGTCCCCCAAAATGTTCCCAATCAGCACTTTAGATAATATTTTCAAAGAGAGGGAAAGAGGACTAAAAAAATTCCTAAGTAACCGGAAGAAAAGAATGAAAAGCCCTTTGGCTTGGGTGCTGCCTTCTCTTGGGAAGAAGGCCTGTCATTGGTAGCTACCACTGGCCTATGTAAGCAGTGTCAGAGTATTGGGAAAGAGCTGTGCTCTTGAGCTGGGGGCATAGGGGGTCGAGTCTGAAGAAGTGTATGTATGACAGACTAATGCCATAGCAAAGGCTGTATGAAGGTTAGTATTGTTGATACAGGCCGTTCCACGGGTAGAGCCAAGACTACTAAAAATAACTGATATTTATATAGCCTTCTTAAGGTTTTCAAAGCACTTTACATACATTATTATGTCATTGGAACTTCACAACAACGTTGTGTTGTCAGTGTTATCCTCATTTTCCAAATAAGAGAATTAAGGGACTTGGAACATTGTAGAACATTGTAAGTTGCATATGAGATTCAAACCCATGTGTCCTCTGACTCCAAGTCTAATGTTCTTTCTATTGTACCCTCATGCCTTTCAAAAAAGAGTAGAATTTCTATATTTAGAGCCCTGGAATGCATTCCTGCATCCTTACTACACAAGAACTCCCTGAAACTGAGAAAGATCTCATAGAATTCTCAACATCCAGGAAGCGTGGTAGAGTAGAAGGAGGTTGGACCTGGTGTCATAAGTCCTGGATTCAAATCTTAGCTCTTCCACGTACTATGTGAAGTTGAGCACGTCACCTGTCTGAGCATGAGTTTCCTCATCTAAAAAATGAGGCCATTATATTAGACAGTACCTAACTCCCCTTCATATCTAAGGTCCTTTCCAACTTTCATATTCTGTAATTTGCATCTGTGTTATGCTTTGAGATTACCCCATTTGATCCTTAGAACAGTTTTGTGGAGGAGGTGGTAAGTTGCATTTTATAGGTTAGGAATCTGAGGCTCATAGAGGTGACTTACCTCACATAGTGAATAATTATCAGAACCAGGCTTCAAATTCTGGTTTTCTTACTCTGAGTCCAGTGTTATGTAAACCTTATGCCTGCCTCCCTCCCTCCCTCTAGCGAAGTGTCCAGGTACTTCCTTCCACATGGGAAAATGAAGAAAGGGTAGATTACCATTTATGACTCTGGGACAATTCTTGATTGTCTTCCTGGGGTAGTTCTGACACCCTTGGTCCTTTATGGATTTGTAGAGCAGGGAAAATGCTTTGGTTGGAGAACAACATTTGTTAGGGAACATGCTTTACTAAATAGAAGCAATAGGTTTTTACTGTAGTGACAGAGAAGGGAGATGGGGCAACTAAGTCGTGCCAGCTTCTCTAGCTGTGCATCTGAAGCAACTCTCCCCTTGTCCATTGATTTATTCACTGCATGCGAAGCACTGTGCTTGACAGTAGGGGAACAAAGATAAAAATGAAACTGTCCTTTCCCCCTAGAAGCTTACATAATAGAGGAAATAAATAACACACAGAAGGGCAGCTAGGTGGCACAGTGGATGGAGCACCAGCCCTAAAGTCAGGAGGACCTGAGCTCAAATCCAGCCTCAGACCAAACAGTTGATACTGGCTGTGTGACCCTGGGCAAATCCCTTAACCCCAATTGCCTAAAATGAATAAATGAATGAATAAGTAAATAGTAGCGCACAGAGATAAATTGAGACTAAACATATACAAAGTCAATGCAAACAAATAAGTACAAAGTAATTGGGGACAGGCGATGAGGAAAGGCCTCCTATATGAGGTAATATTTGAGCTGATCCTCACATTTAGAAAATGTTACACATCTGGTAGTCCCAAATACTTTGTGAGCTATGAAACTCACAGTTGAGATTTGGGAAATCCTCTAATAATGCTCCCTCTAGAGACACGGGATGAAAGGGATACAAATGCACAACCTACTTTCGGGTTTTTTTTTTCAATTTCTTAATGTTTTTAATTGATTTTCATTCCTTCCCTACTTTTACCCAGAGACATTCAGCTGCATTAACAGTTACCTGATCCTTGCTGATGGAGCAGAAAGGGCAGCCAGTATATCCTATATTCCTGCATCATCAGTGCAGGACACATGCCAATAATAAGCAGATTACCTAGACTCTTTCAGGATGGTGCAAGTGTGGGACCTTAACTACCTCACTGAGTAACTGATTTCTACTTCTATGGGAATGCGTTATTTACAGTCTGTAGACTAAGAGTCTGTACTTGAAACTTCCAGATTCCCTAGACTTCTTTTAAGCCATATATTTAAATTAATACAAAAAATTGTACCTGAAAGAACTAATGAAACATCTAAGTAGGAAACGTGAGTAGTAATACCATTCACCTTGAAAATTTAATTTTTTGAAAGTCAATCAAATATTTATTAAGTGCTGATTATGTGCCTGGTACTAGTCTAAGCACTGGGTATGCAAGCATAAGAAAATGAACAAATGCGTTGCCCCCAGCGAACTTACCTTTTAAGATGAAAATGTGGTAGATAGTAATCATTGTAATCTCTGTTTTGTCAAGTCAAGGAGCCTGAAATGCTATACTGTAGAGCCGCAGGGAGGAAAATCAGTCTTAGAATTTCAGTTAGAAGGGATCTCAGCAGCCATCTAGTTCAAACAGAGCTCAAACAAGAATTCACTACAATGTATCTGAAAAAGTAGCAATCCGACCTCTGCTTGAAGACCTCCAGTGAAGGAGAATTCACTAGCTCCCAACACAGCCTGTTTTATTGTTTAAAAAACTCTGATTGTTAGGAAATGGTTCCTTATATCAAGCCTATTATCAAATCTGCCTCCAGACAACTTCTGCCCACCATGGCCAAATAGCAGAAGTCTTAATCTCTCTTCCAGAAGACAGCCCTTCCATTACTTGAAGAGAGTGATCATCCTCGTACTCCAAGCTAAATATTCCTGGTTCTTTCAGCCAGTCTTCACATGGCTTAGCTTGAGGCTGTTCACCATTTTGGTTGCATCCAACTCACGTGCAAGTCATGACATTACCCTCGAGAATGAAGGACAAACAACAACAATAATAACCCTACTCTCTTCTAGATTAGTTTATCCATGTCCTTCCTAAACTGTGCGCCTAGAACTGAACAAAATATTCCTGGTGTGGTCTAACCAGGGCAAAGTATAGAGGAACTTACCAGCTTCTTATACCTGGAAGCTGTGTCGTTCAATTTAGCCTAGGATCACATTGACTTTTCTGACTTCCCTATCACACCCTTGACTTACATTGAGATTACAAGTCCCCTAAAATGCCCAGATCTTTTTCAGACAAATTGCTATCTACCTCATTTTATACATATGAAGCTGATTTTTGCCAGAGCCAGGAATAAAATCCAGTAGTTCTTAACTCATAAAACTTTGCAAGTCCCTCTGTGCTGTGACATTAGTAGGCAACTTTATATACTCTATTGTTCACAAGAAAACCAGCATTAATTTTAAGTATGAGACTTCCTACTTTTCTTTCTGTTGTTCCTTTCATTCCCCTTTTATAGAAGCAATACAGAGAGTCAATTGGGCCCTTCAAATGAGGAGAAGTCTGTCTGCTACAGGCAAAAATGGTAAGAATATTTAGTAGAGTCACATATAGGGCTTTCTCTAATAAGGATTATAATTAGTGGTGGCATTTGCAAAAACATAAAATATATTAAACTAAAAGCATTTTCTGGATTGACTTCTTCCTCTGCTCAGCCTCATGAAATGGATACAAAACAAGATTTCAGCATGCTGTCTTCCAGTTTCCAGGGTAACAAGATATCTTCCTTTTTTCCGTGTGTCTGTCCCCTAATTTTCCTTTGCCTGGGTACCCCTGGATCTGTCATACTTTTTCCCTTCAATTTCAACAAGAAACATTAAATATCTATTGTATGCAGAACAGACTTCTGTGCATTGAAGGAAATAACATTCAAATAAGACAAGGATCCTTGTCAAATAAGAACTCTTTTTCAGATAAAGAAATGGCCCTTCTCCTTGCCAAAGCAAAACCTTCCACATATACACATGATCCCATTCCATCCTGTCTTCCAGCAGATTGCCCTCTCTCTATCCCCTCATTTATTTTCAACCTTTCTGTCTGCTAGCTGCTTCACTAATGCCTGCAAACATGCCCATCCTCAAAAACCCCCTGACTTGATCCCCCCTACCTATTGTCCTGTATTTCTCCTCCCTTTTGTGGCTGAATTCCTTAAGAAGGCTATCTACAGTCAGCACCTCCACTTCCTTTTACTTTCACTCTCTTCTTAACTCTATAGTCTGGCTTCCAGCCTCATCATTCAACTAAAACTGCTCTCTACAAAGTTATCGATTATTTCTTAATTGCCAAATCTAATGGCCTTTTCTTAGTCTTCATCTTTCTTGAGCTCTCTGTAGCATTTGGCATTGTCTTTTATCGCTTCTCCTTAATTCTGTCTTCTGTCTTGGTTTTCTCAACTCTGTTCTCCCCTGGTTTTCATCCCACCTGTCTGACCGCTCTTTCTTAAGTGTTCTTTGCTGGATCTTCATCCAGGTTGTACCCACTAAGTGAAGGTTTCTGCCAAGGCTTTGTCCTGGGATTCTCTTCTCCCTCTATTTCACTTGGTGATCTCATCAACTCCCATGTATTCAATTATGGTCTCTAAATGAATGGCTTTCAGATATATTTATCTCCAACCCTAACCTCTCTTTTAAAACTGTCATCTCAAATCTCCAACTGCCTATTGGATATCTGAAGCCAGATATCCCATAGACATGTTAAATTCATGTACAAAACTAAACTTGTATCTTTCCCCTCACAACCTTACTTCTTCCTAACTTCCCTGTTACCACAGAGGGTACCAACATCTTCCAGTCACCCAGACTTGGCAATGTAGGTGTAATTCTTGACTCCTCACTCATTTTGATCCCCCATTCCTACTCTGTAGCCAAGTCCTGTTAATTTTGCCTTCATAACATCCCTTGTGCACATTTCTTTTTCTCTTCTGACACTATCACCACCCTTATGCAGGTCCTTATTATCTCGTGCCTGGACTATTGTATAGCCTACTAGCTGGTCTCCCTGCCTTAGGTGTTTCCCTGCTTTAATCCACCCTCCACTTAGCTATCAAATTTATCTTCCTGAAGTACGGGTCTGACCATATTGCCTCCCTATTCAATCAGCTGGGGATCTCTGTTACCTTCAGAATAAAATATAAATCTCTTTTTGGCATTGGCCTTCATAACCCAGCCCTTCCTACTTTTTTGTTTGTTTGTTTGTTTTTAGGCAGTTGGGGTTAAGTGACTTGCCCAGGGTCACACACCTAGTAAGTGTCAAGTGTTTGGTCTGAGGCCGGATTTAAACTCAGGTACTCCTGACTTCAGGGCTGGTGCTCTATCCACTGCGCCACATAGCTGCCCCCCTTCATACTTTTATAGACTTCCTGGAAAACTTTCCTTCCACATACTCTTTGATTCTGTGACATTGGCCTCCCTGCTGTTCCATCTCCCAACTCTGGGCGTTTTCACCAGCTGTCTCCCATGCCTGGAACACTTTCCTTATCTCCTTATCTTCCTGGCTTCCTTCAGGTCTCACATAAAGTCACATGTCCTACAAGAAGCCTTTCCTGACTCTTCTCAGTCTTAGTGTCTTCCTTCTGAGATTATATCTGACTTATCCTTGTATATATCTTTTTGTACAGCGTTATCTGAAGAGTCTCTCCTTTTGACTGTGAGCTCCTTGAAAGCAGGACCTGTTTTTGGACTTTCTTTGTATCTACAATATTTGGCACAGAGTAAATGGTTAAAAAATGTTTATTGACTTGATGGCTTTCCTTCATGGTGCTTACAGTCTCATGGGGAAAAGATGGAGATACTCTAAAGTAAATGTAACAGGCAATGAAATAGTGTGAGTGTATTAGGCACAGAACAAAAAGATATATGAGGTCCAAAGGAGAAAAGTCATCTCTGACAGCAACAGTCATTGAAAGCTTTGTGGAAGAGGTCGTTTCTGAGTTGGAGTTTAAAAATGAAGAGGGAGAAATAGGATATTATAGGCCCAGGGAACAGAGGCACAAAGGCAGGAAAGGTGGGGCATTTGGGCAGGGGAGAACAGAGGCTAGTTTGTCTAGGCTGTGGAATGTGTATAGGAAAGTAAGGCTGGAAAGGTAGGGTGGAACCAGATTATGTAGGTCCTTTAATGTAATTAAATCTGTCTGACCTTTATAGGTTGACCTTAAGGTATTTTTGAAAAAAAGGAGGGGCCAGATCAGAAGATGTTGGGCCAGATGATATCTAGAATGGACTGGAAGGAGAGATTTGCCTGAGGCACATGAACTGCCTAGAGTCACATGACCACAATGTATCAAAGGCAGCTCTTGAACCACGGCTAACTTTCTATCCGCTAAAAGCCAAGCTCTCTGTATACCTCTGTTAATAAGGCAAAGGTGTGTGTGTATATATGCACACCTTAATACGTATGCATATGTGCACATGCAGTAGTCAGTTAACCAGAATCCATTTTCTGATCATACCAGATAAATTTAATGTGTTACTGTATACATAGGACAATTCTTGTTTGGCAGAAAAACTGAATCAATAGAACAGCAAGGTGGGTGCTATTTGATCTCAGTATCTCTGTCTGTGTCACTGACTCTGTTCTCCCCCCCCCCCCGCCCCCAAATGAATATAATGGCAGGAAGCATTGCACAGCAAAAAAGAGCAAGTCTTGTATCTGATACATATTGGTTGTATGACATTAGACAAATTACATGCACCAAGCAAGTTTCTACTCTAAATCTTAGATAGTAAACCCTTCTGGGAAGGGCCAATGAAAATGTCCCCTCACATTGTACTGGTATACCTACTTATGCAAGGTGACCAGATTGCAAATTTAGAATACAATAAAATACACTTCATTAGTGAATTTAGTCCTTTTTTCTCTGGTTCAGAAATACTTTCAGATCTTCCTGTCTTTGAGGCCATAATTGCCACATGGAATACCCAAATGCCAGTTAACAGAAAGCTCTGGTTATTAGGATAATTGGGAATATTCTATTTTAGTATGTTTCTCTTACTGTAATACAGAGTGTCAGCTTTATAATGAATTCTACCATGTTGCATGTAATGTTTTTGTACATTTTTGTGCTGGTAGTAGGTGGAAAGCATGAGTACTTGACATCTCAGTTTCAGATCTAGGGATTTGTAATGGGACCCATCTCTTCTGCTACTGGGTGAAATGAAATGCTATTTTCTTTGCAGGCATCACTTCTGTTGGTGATGATCACGTACCAGTGAGTATAGAAACAGAAATAATGTTAGAGCAACTCAAAGAACATTATCAAGATTTCAAGATCAAACTGGAAACCAAGGTAAAGAAAGAGAGGACAAAGAAAGTCACAGGCCAGAAAATGAACATTTAGCCAAAAGAAAGTGATTTTTGCTTGTGCAGTTGCTTCAGTGTTGTCATTTGCTGCACAGTCATCTCTCTGACAGATTTGGAGGGGGGCTTCCTAGTCAGTAAGTCATGAAGAGTGATGAGGAAAGTCTTATGAAATGTAGATGGCAATGAAGCTTGGTTATGACATGCTGAAAGCAGATGTACAGCATCGTTTATTGCTGTGAAATGTTTATGGACTTTATGTAGATTATAGCCAGCTATTGGCAAGTCCTCCAAGATACTGTGTTATTTAGGACTTGGATTTCATTTCCCTTTATTTTAAGCTTGGGAGGTTTGCCTCTTGGGGACAATCTCTTAACTCAGAAGAATTGTAACTGATGTCAGTCTGGCTGGTTACATTCTTTCTTTAGAAGTCTGTCATGAGTACCATCTGCTCTTTTCAATAGAGTCTCCTGGTGTATGTGACTTGCCCAAGGTCACACAACCAGTATGTGTCAGAGGCAGAACTTGAACCCAGAGTCTCTACTCACTGTGCCATGCTATGTCTTACTATGTTCATTTTCTCTTTCCCACCCCCACCCCCATATAAATGTAGAGATAAATAGGGATAAAGATCCCTTTTATCTTTTGGGCAGCTAGGTGGTACAATAGATAGAGGGCTGAGCCTGGAGTCAGGAAGACTTATCTTCCTGAGTTCAAACTTTGCTTCAGACACTTAGTAGCTGTGTGACCCTGGGCAAGTCACTTAATCTTGTTTGCCTCAGTTTCCTCTTCTGTAAAATGAGCTGGAGAAAGAAATGGCAAACCACTCTGGTATCTTTGCCAAGAAAACTCCAAATGAGGTGAGGAAGAAAATGACTAAATATCAACAGATCTAGATATTGATATCTGTATCTATATAGATATCTAAATTGTCTAGAGTGTAGATAAAGACATCCATATAGATATGTAGGTTGTGATATCTATATTATGTGTACATATATGGATATGTATATCTATTGAGAAAGAGGAGAGGGAGAGAAAGAGAGAAGTTAAATAGTACCTTGTTCTTTTTTTTCTTGTTAGTCTAATAGTATTATTTGCTTGAAACATTTTCCCCCTCTGAGATACATACTAAAAACTGATTATCATATGTCATATTCCTATATAAGGGAGAGCTAGAAGAGGTAGGCTACTCTTACACTTTTTGCACGCTTGTCTTCCAGATTAGATTAAGGCAGAATTTGAAATTGAATCTGTCCTTAAAACTAATGCTAGAGTTGATTGTTCGTCACTGGCCAGACAAACCATGTAGCTCCTCTCAAAATTTTGTTCTGGTTCCAGATACATTTCTAGGTGTCCTTCATGATGGTTAGAATAGCCCTCATGAGGTAGCTAGATGGTGCAGTGGACAGAGCACCAGCCCTGGATTCCGGAAGACCTGAGTTCAAATGTGGCCTCAAACACTTGATACTTACTGTGTGACCCTAGGCAAGTCACTTCACCTCATCGCTTCGCAAAAAAAAAAAAAGAGTCCTCATTTTCCATACTGATTGTCAGCACAGTTTCAGATTCTCTCAATAATTGCTAAGCCTTCTGCCCCACACAGGTGGCATAAGTGCAGCCTGTAAAAAGTAACATTATTGATGATAGTTTTATTTTCATTTCTAATGCTTTTTATGCAACAACAAATTTTAGAGTTTTTTTTTAACATCATGCTTCTCTTTTTTGGATTTTTAAGAAAAGCATAGGAACACTTTAGTAATATCCCGATATTGTCATTTATTTCAGGTAAATTACTATGAGCGAGAAATAGAGCTCATGAAAAAGAACTTTGAGAAGGAGAGAAAAGCCATCGAGCAAGGCTTTAAGATGGAGATCAGTGAGTTAGAAGAACAGAAGGCTGATCTGGAGGAGCTGAATTTGAAATCTCAAGAGCTGATTGAAGGCCTGAAAGATCAGATCCAAAACTCAACACAGAGCCAAGAGCTTGAGAGGAAATTAGAGAAAGAGAGGTCAGAAATGGAACAGTACTACGCAAAGGAGATTTCAAATCTAGGGCAACGGCTGGCCCAAGAAAAGGACCAACTAGAAGAAGAACTGAAATTGAAGCATCAGAATGAGCTGCAGTTAATGAGGTCTGATTGCATGTATTCTTTCTGGATTTCCAAGACTGCACATTCTTGCCATGAACAAAAACTTGAAATTGATTTAGTCAAACAAATGGTGTAAAACTGTAGCCCACTAATACCCAGGTGATGATGATTTATGGGTAGAGGAACGAGGCCTGGAAGAAAAGGTGATAGGTATTGGAAAGAAGTTTATTTAAAGAAAAAGAAAGCTAATTTAAAAAAAAAGTTTTAAAAATCAATTTGCTTGTTGAATTGTAATTCAGTTCTTTTTATATAATTCATGGTAGACTTCCTACTTCCTAATACCCAATGAGCAGGCTGCTTTTTGTCAAGTTAATATTATTTTCCATTTCTCCAGTGGATACTTGTAAATATGAGATTGAAAAACAAATGAAAGAAATAATTTTTGGTTAGTGAGATTTAGGATAAAATGTATAGGCAGAAGAAAAAATGTATATGGAAAAAGTATATGATGTTATGGGTATTCAGGGGCCAGAGACATAGAACATAAACTCATATACATACTTGTTTTGAACCCTTAAGATTTACTTAATGCAGTGTTAAGTATCTAGTTAATACTCAGCCAGTGTGTTCAGTACTAATTTCTAAGGACTTCAGTCTTCTAGGAAAGTTTTCCTTAAAGGTCAAGGTGTCTTAAAATCTATCCAGTTTGGGAAATGATTGGCTATTCCCAGGAAGCAGGGATTAGACTTCTAGCCAATATGATCAATTCAAGATTTGTGACATGATATTGCTTTAAAAAAAAATCCAGTCTTGTTAATTTGGGTAGCTTGGAAGAACATGTTTATGTCAGGAATCTGTGTACTGAAAGTAAAACATTCAACTCAGTTCAACAACAGTGGTACAATGGCTAGAGTGCTAGATGAGGAGTCAGGAAGACATCTTTATGTGTTTAAATTGAGCCTTAGATACTTACTAGCTATGTGACCTTGGGCAAGTCGATTGATCTTTATTTTCTTCAGTTTCCTCTTCTGTAAAATGAGGGTAGTAATAACACCTACTTCTTAGGGCCTTAGGAGGATAAAATAAAATATTTGTAACATGCTCATTGTTATTATTAAGTTCCCAGTATGTGCAAGGTGCTATGGTAAGTTCTGGGGATACAAAGATAAATATAAAACATCCCATAACTTCATGGAGCTCACATTTACTCAATTCTTCTTACATTTTTTCCCCAATAAATAATTTCTCTTTGTACCTTTTTAAAACATCAGAATAATTTTACAACATACCTTCATCCTTAATTGAATTCTCCTTTGTAGCAAAGAAAACTTCCCAGGAAGATCCTGGCAATAAAAGGATATAGGACAGTATAGGCAACATTCCTATCTAGAGAATCCCCCTTCTCCCCAACTTCTTTGCCAAAAGGAGGGGAGTATATTTCCTCCTCTTCTCTGGGTCAGAGTTTGGCAGCATTTTTGAGTTGTTTCCATTAATATAGCCTAGGAAGTTATGCTCCACCATGGAGCTGACATTTGAATATGAAGAAATCATCAGTGAAAAGGAAATTAATAGATTTTCTGCAGCGAAGGTTTTCACTTACTTTTGTACAATGATGCCCTGAGACAGTTGCTAAATATGGCATAATGAGAATGCATTGACAAAAGGTGTACACATCTATTTATTATTTCTCTCTTGTGTTAAGGAGAATGCTACATTGTGCTTCTCTAGTCATCTACCTTTGGATTCACTACTTATACTTAATGGAAGGGAAACTAGTTCCGTAGTGGACAGAGGGTGATAATTGTACCTATTTAGATTATATGTTAGAAGAACACAGCCACATTTCCTCAAGCTTCTTCTGACTATCCCATTGGGAATCTTAGCCATTTGGTAATACAATGACCCAGAAGCACCAGTTGTTCAAGCAGAAATGCTAGACACATAGTTAGTGCTCTACAAATGCTTGTTGGTAAGAAGATTAATTGCTGTAGAGTATCCTTGTACCCTACAGAATACAGGCAATGATTTCTTCCCCTTCAACTCAGTCCATAAAGATGAATTGAACACAGATCCTTTGCTTTTACACTGGTGTACTCTCTCTGTGAAAAGCTTGGTGCAATATTTAGCAAAAAGACACTTAGATTACTTCTTGTGTCTACACCTCAGAAATCCTCTTTTTTTATCTTTTGAAAGACAGGTTTAAATGAAATTCAGCTGTTGAATTAATGAATTTAAAGAAAACTCGCCATATTAAATTCAGCATTTGCACATTTTCAAGTAGGACATGTGAAAATTAGTATGTGTGTAGACATGATATATAGCAACTCACACCAATAGCTTAATTTGCTTTAAAATGGAGATCAACTTTGATTTAAAGTAAAAAAAGCAAGTATATGTTGTTTGGTACATGACGAATGTTAACATATAAAAAGGGCAATTAGCCAAGAGATTCACATTCAAAAGAGAAGCCAGCAACAACCTTCATGACTCAGTCTTCTGTTCTTGTTTGGTAACTGCTAACTTAACACATTTCATTAAAACCTGAGTGATAGGGCATTTTCAGTCTATCAGAGCTTTTATGCTCTAAGCTTTAATGACTTCTAATTGAAGTTAACAGTCTTTTTCCTTGAACATCTACATAGAATTAGGCCTCTTTATGCCAGTGGCCTTCTGTATTGAAAACACAGTCTTTTCTTTATCCTTCTTTGAAGTCTGCATTTCTTACTAATAAAGTCCTTTATCATTTTGAGAATCTACTTTACTTGCTCATCAGGCTTAATTCTGTTCTTTAAAATATATTGGGTTATGTACTTTTGTGGAAAAAAAGCCTTGACAAACAATGGTTAATTTCATACATTTTTGGTGGGAATGGTAAAGAGCACTTGAGCTGAATATATCAAAACAGACAAGGTGACTTTTCTCACCTCAAAAACAAGATCTGTGGTATAGACCTAGGAAAGCCAACAATATGCATATTGTTATTGAACGTGGGTCAATATAAAATTGTTTATCTGCAGGACAGAGGCAGAGATGGAATTGAATCAAAAGCTGTCATGGACAGAAGCCCAGCATGCTGAAAATTATAAGAGGTTATTGGTGCAACATCAGCATGAAAAAGAAGACATGTTACAGAGATACAGCCTGCAAGTGAGAGAGATAAAGGAACAGTGTGATTTAGAAAAAAAGAAATGGGAAGAGAAAGAAAAGGAAATATTTACTCAGTATAAAAAGAAAGAGCTGAAGCTGGAAGAAAGGATGAATGAAGAACATGCTAGGATATGCAAAATGTTTGTCATTGAAAAGGAGAAGGTTGAACTCACTTACAGAATGCAAATAGAAAGGCTTACCCATGAAACAGAGAAAATGAGGGCCCTCTTATCTGATGAGAACAGACAGATAAATAATGAAACCAAGTCTGTGACTAGCCAAGAAATATTTTTTCCACACAAGAGCAGAAACCAAGGGAACCTGTATGAAGAGGACTGGAAACAAGGTGAGCAGTTATTGGCGTGGCCGAAATCCAAAGGTGAAAATCATGACAAGTCTGGAGATCTGTTTTTTATTCAAAAAAAGAAAGAACTTGAAGGAGACAACATAAGTAATTTAGGAACAAAGTATGTAACTGAACTAAAGGAACAAAATTGCCCTACTGAGACTGTTCACAAACCATGTGAATTTCAGACATTGCTGTCATCTCAAAGGCTATTTGATGGTGTCAAGATCAGAGATGCCAATTTGACTTTGCCAAAAACAGAAGAAGCCATGTTCCTTTCTCTTGGAGTAACAGTTGCCTCACCACCTGGATCTGAAGAGGGGTGGAAAGGTGAGGAGCAACAGATGAAGGAACAGTTGCTTTCTGTTGAGGAAAGAGGCATCCAGAATGAGAATTTGTCAGATCATCTCAATATCAGAGAGAAGTTGCTTTTATTGAAAACAGAGGAGAATGGCTTGGTTGCTCTATTTCCACAGAGAACAACTTGATCCCAGCTCTGCAGCCAAAAAAGAGTGTGGCTTTTTCAGGAAAGGAAGATATTGAGAAGCAGAGAGCAATTTTTAAGGAACAAACTGGGAAGCTCACTGAAGAGCTGGAATTAGTGAGGATGAAGGAACAAAACTTGACCACACAGGTACAGGAGACAGAGGAGCAGGCCCAGAAACATATAATGACCTTGGAGCATGAACTGTGTCTCCGGGAAGAAGCTATTAAGAAGGGAGCAGAGCTATTAGACATGTATATACAGTCACACCAGCAGCTAGAAAAGCAACTGAGGACCAAAGAAGAGGAGCTGTCAGTACTTCGGGAAAGGGAGGAAGCGATGCTTAGTCAATTAAAGCATAAAGAGGAGGTGGTGGAAGAAAAGAAGTGGGAGACTGAGACCCAGCTAGAAAGGGAAAAGGACGAGATGAAGATTAAGCTGATTCAGCTGGAAGGGCTAGTCTGGACCCTTGAGAAAGAAACACATTCAAGAGAAAATGACAGGTTTGATCTCTAAACATTTTGGGGGGTTTTAGTAAGAAAAAACCCACAACTAAAGGGTCACTGTTTACTAATGACCCCACTTTACCCACCTTTTCAGTGCTTACCTACCACATCGCTTACAGACTTGGGCTAAGAAGATGAAGGAGTTTGGGGTATTATTGTGTGAAATGGAATGTTTGTCTTCTGGTTTATCCTGTCTCTAATTTGCCCAAATGGAGGAATAAGCATTTAACTTTCCCATGACCTCCTTATACATTAGTTACCTCCTAGGTTGTATAAGCTCTTTCTAGGCATCTGTCAGCACCTATTGAAAATATTTGTTGTTAAGCAAGTTGAGTGCTGTAAACAAGATGGAAAGTAAGAAAAATGAGTGAAAATTGGAAGCAGGCAAAAATAGGATCATTTACAATGTTACAGGTTTTGCACGATGGCTTTTTAAAAATTGCAATTAGGGCCTTTAGTTGGATGAAGTAGTTTTTTTTTACTATTATTTTAATTCTAAGTTGTTGTGATTATGTGATTTCCATTAAGGTTTTGAGGCTTCTAGTACCTATTTGAAATGAGGTATTGAGGAATAATCGAGACACTGTTCATGTATTCATCTTTGACCATTCTGAGCTTTATAGATGTACTGCCTTTTATTTTCTTATTGTCTGGTGGAAGACCAACCTTCCTCTGACTTGGCAGGCATTTTGTCAGATCATGTGAAAGTAATAGAGTTGGGGATTTAAGTTGTTAAGTTTTTGTTTGAAAGTGCTGTAAGTTCTTTCAACTTGAGTCTTTTAAAATAGTGTGACCTCTAGGTCCCTTTGAACTTAAAAAAAATCATCTGATTCATTGGCATTTTCCATATGGTTACATTTAAGTGTTTGAAATGAGAGGGCTTTTGCTGTGTTTGCAATTGGCATGCTTCTACTTGGACAGGCTGGATTTCTCTTAGGCAGGCTTTAAGTTAAAATATTGCCTCCCTGCAGATCCTGATTTCTTGATTTTTATTTCTTTGCCAACTCACTATATACGCCATAATTTCTTTTGCATGTTTTAGAAAAATAAGGAGTTATGCAAGTGAGGAGCTACCCGAAACTAAATGATTAGTCCATAGAATAAATGCCCATTATACATGTTGTCCCTTAACTATGGTAGGATTTGGGGGAAAGGAAGTCGGGATAGATGGATTTATTGACTGATCTTGGCTGGTGTTTATCCCCTTTCCCTACTACCTAAATATGCTAAGGACAGATTATATGAGTAGTAAGAGTAAGACTTAGATTTATTCATTATTATTAGTCATTATTTTCTATTCATGGTTGACATTTAAATAAGTAAATGATCTCTACCAGTTATGTGTTATAAAATGACCATTCAGCCAGATAGACTTCCTTCATCCTATTGCCACTCATAACCATTTTTCTCTCCTTATATAATCCCTTCAGTTAATTTTTTCTTTTCAAAGCTATCCCTGTAAACAGTTGTAGATGTTTCCGAGGTTTCTGTTGCTGGTCCCAGAGTGGTGCAAAAGGGCAGATTAGCAAAGAGAAAAGCTCACCACTCTACGACTCCTGTGGATAAAACACCTATGTATTTTTATCTCCCAAGATTGCTACCTTTCTTGGCTTCCACTTTGCCTTGTTATAAGTAACAGCTATAATTTAGTCATTGGAGTCTACTTAATATCCTTTTAAAGTCACCTACAGATTTTTCCTCTTCCATATCTGAGTGCCTCCTTGCTCTGGTGTTTTCCATTTGGTGGTGCTCCTTTGCCAGGGCTTATGGGGAACTAGGGGTGACAGTATACATTAGACAGGAAGAATTCACCTTGTGTCTTCCCCATGCTGAATAAGGGGCAAATAGGGCATATAACAGGTAAGCCCATCCTAGTCTTTGCTTTTTTTAGTCTTTCTCTGTCTTGGTGCTTCCATGGGTAATTTTTTGTTGTTACTGTTGAAAACAATCCCAGTCTAGAAGCAATTGAACTTGGAGGCATAGCAGATGATTTCATTTTAGTTTAGTGATGGAATGGGGTGGAGTGCAAACGTTTGGAAGATATACAGGGCCTTGGCACACACATACAAGCATAAAGATAAGGGAAAACAGTGGAAGGAGGCACCCCTGCCATTAATACTGCCCCAATTGAGGAATACATGTGCCTCATTATTAGTCCTGGGTGTTCTGTATCATTCACATCAATCCCTATGCATCTCTCATGCTGTGCTGACAGCATCCTCTTTTCATTTATCCATGGTGGCTGAGAGTGCCACAATTATGATAAAATTGCTCTCTTTTCCAGGTTCACTGGTTCTGGCTTTCTATGCAGATAGTTATTGTTGGGATGGCTTGAGATGTAGGGAGCTTTGGGAGCTACTAGGGGTTGGTTTGGAACTGGGAGATGTATTCCTTTGGTCCCCAGGACACCCAGAAAAGTTTCAGGAGTCTAAGGCACTAACTAGCCAGCTTGAGGAATCAAGCTGATAGTCAGTGTTGGATGCATTTTTCTTCTCTTTCCTCTCCCCTTTATAGAAAGCTAAGAAGAAAAATAAAGTAGATGTAGTTCTGAAGTTCTAGTTGATGGAACTTAGTTGGGATGGCTAGGGGTATGAGACCCCAAACTACCTCTTGCAGACAAGCCAGAGTGAATAGAATTCAGTGGAAGCGGTACTTTGAATTTAAAACAAGATTATTAGAGAGGTGAGGTAGTGCTATGCCCACTCTTATCTATATATCTATATATATGTGATATATAGATATGATATCTATCCCCCTTTACTTTCTGATCTCTAACATTCCATCATTCATCAGGATTTTGATAGGAAACACCTGATAAAAAATTCTGAGGGGATGCCAAGGAAAGGGCTCAGCATCTAGAGCAATAATCTCTCTTTTTATTAGGAGATGGGTTAGTGTTTTACTTTTTCTTTTTGAAGATAAGTTGGTGTTTTGGGGGATTTTTTTTGTTTTCTTTTGTTTTTCAGGGACAGGGGTACAGGGATGGGGTCCATTCTATGTAGGAAGACACAAAAAAATGCCTTAATATGAGCCCGGTTTGGACTACCACACTCTGTTCCTAGTACTAATGATTAATTACTTGATAGTTCTTGGTGACCATTTAGTTTTCCTTTATTTTCCTCTATTCCATAGGAAAGAGGTGGCTTTTTTTGTTTGTTTGTTTTACTGATAAAGTGTTGTTTTCCAAAAAAATAAAATAAAGTCACCTGCAGGTTGTTGCTGGGTGTGGGCACAGGTACCAGTTAGCAGTTCTCATCTACCTTTGGTACACCTGGCCCCTTTAACACAATAGATGTTTTCCTTCAGGAAGTGGTATTGAGGTGGAGTGCGGTGGAAGGACAGATTAGCTTTTGTAAAGGAAAAACCCTCAGCAAAAGAAACCAGAAAAAATGTATGTATATATATTTGTGATTAGCTAACTGTATGGAAGCTTCGAACAAGTATACCTGCAAGGTAGTATCATAAGGTAAGGAAGCCTAATTTTCTGTGTTTAAATAAGGAAAATTGTTTAGGTAGAGTTCACACTGAAAAGAGATTTTTCAAATCCAGGAAGTCTATCCTGTAAAATCACCAAGAAAACATCAGCATATGACATCACTGAGTGGGGGAGGGTAGATGGGAAAATGTGGACCGGAGGATTTTTATAAGGTTTCATTCCATTGGAAACCAGGCTAAAAAGTAGAATGAAAATGGTAGTCATGCCTCCAACATCATAATTGTTTTTTTTTTTCTTTATCTGCAGAATCGAGTTGTGTAAACTTTCTGAAGATAACCGTTTACTAAAAAGTAAGCTAAAAAGGTTTCAGCAGGAGCTAGAAGATACAGCAATAGAAGGGGACCAACAGAAGTAAGGGCTCTTTTTACATTATTTAAATGGTTATAGCCTGCACCCTTCCATGTTGTTTATCTGCATGATATTTGAGAAGACAGTTGAACATACCTTCTGATTCAGCTTTTAAGGGTTCTGTGACCCCTTCTGGAACAAGCATACCCAAGAGAATATGGAAAGTGTCGTCAAGGATTCAGTCATTATGCACCTTGTGACACTGTGTCCTCATTTCCCCAAGCTTTTTGGTATTGGCTGTGCCAGGAGACCGCTAGCAGCTTGTAATATAAGCTAGTGCATGAGGCTTTCCCCCAAGGACACATATTATACAGGAGAATACAAACAAAGACACACAGAAGAAGCTATGCAACTGAATTCCCTAGGGAAAAGCCACTCACAAAGATCTCACTTGGATCTCTAACTTTCATGAAAACACATTGAGTTCTGTAATGTGAGAATCAGCCAAAAACATCCGCTCAGAAGCCTGGATTAAGTTCTGTTGTTATAGGTTGGCTACAGGCAGCCTTAGAGGGCGAAAGACTATGGTGTTTTCATCAGAATTATTGGAAACAGTAGCAGGGGAGTAAGTGCCAGGCCTGGAGTCAGGAAGACTCATCTTCATGAGTTCAATTCCAGCCTCAGATGTGTACTAGCTATATGACCTTGGGCAAGTCATTTAACCTTGTTTACCTGCATTTCTTTATCTGTAAAATGATCTGCAGAAGGAAATGGCAAACAACGCCAATATCTCTGTCAAGAAAACCCCAAATGGAGTCACAGAGAGTCAGACATGACTGAAATGAACAAATGACCTTCTCGATCCCCAGAACATTTGCCCTTTACTGATTATGGTATGATAGCCCTTCCAATTCAGAAAACTACCAGCAGAAGCTCTGTGTGTATGTGTGTGTGTGTGTGTGTGTGTGTGTGTGTGTGTGTGTGTGTGTGTGTGTGTGAGAGTGATGCCTTGATGTATGTTGTTGTTCAGTTAGTTCAGTGTTATCTGACTCTTTGTGACACTGTAAACTTTGTCCATGGGATTTTCTTGGCAGAGATCCTGGAGTGATTTATAATTTCCTTCTCCAGCTCATTTTACAGATGAGGAAACTGAGGCAAACAGGGTTAAGTGACTTGTCCCAGGTTATGTATAGCTAATAGGTGTCTGAGGCCAGATTTGAACGCAGATCTTCCTGACTGTAGACCTGGCGCTCTATCCACGGCACCGCCTTAGCTGCCTCTCATTTATGTATATGCAAATACTTACTGGCATATTTTTTCAGAAGATGTTTATGGAGAATAAATATCCCCTGCCCCCAAACCTTCTGTGCTATTTGGCTTCAAGAATATGGTCAAGAGAGTGTATAGATAGTTCAATACAAGCTCTTACAATTTCAAGCATACATTTTGCCCAATGAAATAAATGAATTAAAGAGTAGTGTATATTTGAGGGAAAAAGAAACAAACTGTAAGTAGCCTAATTTTTGAATTAAAACAATATACACTAAAAGAAAAATGTAAATTATTTAAATAAATATGGCTGATTTGGTATTAGAAGCATGTTTAAAAATAATTACATAGAGCAGAAGGAATTTCAGAAAGAGACACAAACAAGACAGTTTTCACTACCATGTCAAATTATATATGCTTAAAAATGCAAGCTGCATGTAAAAATGTTCCACAATTTCATACATAGTCCTCTTTTTCTGTTCGTTTTATATGGACGTCATTGTGTCTGCTAATATCTATTAGATTTTAAAAAAATTCAAAATAATTATGTAGCTCAAAATCCAAACTGGTAATACGAAAATGGAATATGATGCAGATGGAATAATTTGATTGGTAGTTGCGGTTTTACACATTTTACTAGTAGATACAATTTACTAGTATGATATAATGTAACACTACATTAAATAATAAATATTTACTAGTATATAGCAATGGGTTCACTAGCTCAGGATATAAAGAGTTTAGTGATTTTTTTTTTTGCTGAATTGTTGCCTGTGCTATTAATGACTTTTTTCTGAACAGGAAGCAAATAGAAGAATTACAGAGAGAAAAGGAAAAGGCTTTCTCTGAAATAGAAGAGTATAGTAAACAGGTAAAATATTAACATCTTTTTCAGACATACCTAAGAATAAGCTGAAAATATGAGAGCATGAACCTCTTCTTGGTTGAATGACTCCAATCACGTTAGAGTCATAGAATTTTAGAGAGGCCAGCATCCTTTGAGATCGAGTTCCACCTCTTTGCTGGAGGGGAAGGAAAACACATGCAGAGATGGTGAAAAGATTTGCCCAAGGCTACTCAATTAGTAAGTGATAAAGCTAGGATTAGAAGCAATGGTTTTCCCATTATTTCATGATGTAACACCGTGGCAAAGATACATTTTGTAGGTGGGTTTTTTTTTTTTTAAGGAACTGCAGTTTTTGCTAGGAGCAATGTTAATAGTATCTGATACTTATTTACCATTTTAAAGTTTACAGAGGACTTTGTATACATTGTTATTTCATCCTTATAAAAAATCTTGTGAAGTAGGTATTGTTATGTGCACTTTATAGATGTGTAAACTGAGATCCAGAAAGACTAAGTGATTTGCCTGTGACCATATGGCTAGAAAGTGTTAGAGGTGGGCTTCAAACTGACTTAATTCCAGCTTTAGTGCCCTTTCTACTTCCCCAGCTTCCATTCCATAATATCATTAAGACATATTGGTGAATGGAGTTTATGTATTAGTACAGCATTTAAAATAATTTTTCGATAAGTAAGCTTTTAAAAATTTGGCAATCATGTTTTACTTTAGTATGGTGAATTATTAAAATATGTAATGTGTTTTAATATGTGGCAGAGGTTTTCAGAACACTGGATTCAAATTATCATCAAATAATTCCTGTGGGTTTTCAGAATATTATAGGTCTGTTCCATTTCCATTTCATGAACTAAAACATTTTATCTGTTAAGGAATGAAATGAAAATGATTACTTTTTTCCTAAATTATTGAGCTGTCAGTGAAATTTCTCTGTCTTTTAAAAACAAATTTTTATTGATATCTGTCATCATCTTGATTTCTCCCTCTCTCTGTAGAAAGCCCTCCCCTATAAAAAGGTTTTTGAAAAAGAAAGAAAAAAGCAAGCAAAATTAATAAATGTATCCAAAAAATCTGACGGTGAATGCAGTGTTCCACTTAAAGAAGTGGGCAGGGGGGCGGGGGTAGGGTTTGTCTTATCTCTGTCTCTTTTCTGTGATTTTGCATTTGTTTTGTGGTGGTTCTTTCCATTTACATTGTTATAGTCATTGTGTAGACTGTTTTTCTGGCTCTGCTTACATCGCTTTGTATCAGTTCATGTAGAATGTTCCGTAATTCTTTGTGTTCTTCATATTTTTTTTTCAAGCTGGTAATATTGCATTACTTTCATGTAGCACAATTTGTTTAGCCATTTTCTCTCTTTATTTAAAAAAATCTTTTCCTTCAGACAGAGAAGCGCAAGAATGAAATATCCCAGCTCAACATCAAGATCAGTCAGTTGACTGATGAGGTCTCTGTGCTACAGGCTCAGAATGAGAGCAGCCAACAAACTGTGCAGCAGTTAACACAGAGACTTACAGAAGAGGGATGTCGGAAAAAGGAGAAGGTGAGTGAGACTGGGCAGCCACAATAGATAATCCAAGAAATGAGAAGAAAGGCAGTTTGGACACGAGTCATAGAGACAGAGGGAAGACGAGCTAAGACACGCAGCTAGGTAAATATTTAAGTGTCTGTTAGTTGACTCTAATGGAATCAGGGATTTTAGTGTTGGTAGATTAAGAAAGAAAATATAATGATTGCTCAAAGATTCAGGCCCTGTTGGGAAGAAGCCAGAGATGTTCCATATAATAGTCTTTCAGTGTTGTAGGTTGAAGGCTAGAAAAATCAAATAGAATTAAGTAACCAAAATAGCAAGTTTTTGAATTCTCCATTTAAATAACTAAAAAGGGCCATTGGTTTTTCTCTTTCTTAATTTTGTTAAGTCAATCAACTAGCATTTATTAAGCCCCAGGCATTTTGCTAAAAGATGAAGATACAAAGAAAGGCAGGAGACTGTGCCTGCTTTTAAGGAGTTCACAGGGTAATGGGGGAAATGATGTGCAGATAACTATGTGGGGATACACACACACATATGTATATATACACATGCTAATTGGGGATAGTCTCAGAGGAAAGGCATTAAGATTGTGGATAACCAGAAAAGGCTTCTTTCTTGAAGAAGGTGGAATTTTAAATGAGACTTGAAGAAAGCCAGGAAGTGAAGATGAGGAGGGAAGGAGTTCTAAGCATGAGTGGAATAGTCACTAAAAATTCCCAGACTTTGGAGATGGACTATATTGTTTGAGGACTGGCAAGGAGACCAGTGTCACTGGATTGCAGAGTAGTAGAAGGGAGTAAGATGTGAGATTGGAAAAGCAGAAGATGGCCGGGTTATGAAGGGTGTTAAAAGCCATACAGAGGATTTTATATTGGATCTTGGAGGTAACAGGAAGCCACTGGGGTTGATTAAATTCAGGGATGGGGGTTTGATGTGGTCTGAGTTGTGTTTCAGGAAGATCAGTAGGACATATCCATATGAACAGGAGTGGGGAGAGACTTGAGACAGGGGGATGACCCAGAACGCTTTTGCAGTAGTCCAAGCATGAGGTAATAAGGGCCTGCAGGAGGGTGGTGGTAGTGTCAGAGGAGGAGTGTATATGAGAGAGGTTATGAAGGTAAAATTAACAGGATTTACATTGTTAAATATTGCATTTTTACTCACGTTATGGTATGGCCGTGTTGGACATTATGAATGCAGTAGTTGAATTCCTTGGTACATGTCGCTATACCCTTCCAAGCTCAAGGGGCCTAGCTTGGTCCAGCCTCAAGGATATGGATGGCATTGATTTTAGAAGCCGACGTGGGAGATTGTTCCGTTAGATTGAGAACCCTATAATTACTTATAGGTAACATAAGAAGATACTAGAGTAGATCAAATCTCATGGTATATTCGGTGACTGCTTCCCAGTAAGAGCAGACCTCCTAAGTCCAGACTGGCATCCTGGGAGTTAATCATATTGTAGTGACCTTTGGGAGTAGGGAGTTTGGGGCTGCAAGGTCCTTTCCACTTCTAACTCTATGATCCTATTGTGCCATGACCAAAGCCAGGCTCATTCTATTCTGAAATCTGTCTTTCCTATCAACTTCCCCTTTCTGTTGAGGAAATCACCATCCTTTCAAGAAATCACCTTATCATCTAGGAATCTTGCAATTATCCTTGTTTCTTCCTCTCCATCCTCCTCTTTCCCCCCTCCTGCCTTATTCAGTCTATAATCTCCTTCTCTCTTCCCAGAGAGCCATCTCCTATAAAAAAGATTTTTTAAAAAAGAAAGAAAAAAGCAAGCAAAATTAATAAATGTATCCCAAAAATCTGACAATGAATGCAGTGTTCCACTCGTCTTTCTGAAGTGTGTCTTTCTTATCTCTGTCTCTTCTCTTTAATTTTGCATTGTTGATTCTTTCTCCACATAAAATCTCACATCCATCTCCTTCTTCCCGCATCCCCTCATTACTTCATTCTGGTATCATTGCAATAGCTTCCTAATTGGTCCATCTGCTTCCAGACTTTCTGCTCTGTAATCTATCCACACAGCTTCCAAAATAATCTTCTCAAAACACAAATCTGCCATGCCACTCTCCTCCCTACTCAAGAATTTTCTGTTTCTCTCTTGCCCCAAGGATAAAGTATAGACTATTTAGTCTGGCTTTTAAACGCCTTCACAATTTGCCTTTTAGCTTACCTTTTCCAACTGATTTCCCATTACTTTCCCTCATGCATTCTCTGTTCCAGTTACACTGCCTTACTTGATTTTATCTGAATCTGGCCTTCTATCTCACACCTCCCTGTCCTTGCACAGGTTGTCCCATGTCCCTGGAATGGACTCCCTTACTTTTCCTCTTAGAATCACTGACTTCCTTCAAGATTTAACTTAGGAGGTGTCTCCTACAGGAATCCTTTCCTGATCTCCCTACTTGTTACTGCTTTTTCTCTCTCCTTTAAACCATATTGTGTCTGTTAACAAGTTATATTTCCCAGTATAATATAAACTCTTGGAGGGAATGGACTCCCTTTTTAGTCACTAAGCATTTATTAATCACTTACTATACACCAGACACTGGTATATAGTCCCTAGATACTGGGGACACACAAAGAAAGGCCAGAACCCAGTCCAGATGTCCTCCAGGCACCCACATCCCAATAGGGGAATCAACATGCAAAAAATGGGTAAATACAACATATATATATACAGGGTAATTGGAGGGTCACTTTATCCCTGTATCCTCAGTGGCTAGCACAATGCCTTACACATAGAGAGCCATTAATTAAAACTTAGCTGAATTGAATTAAAGGCAACAATTTTTTAAAACATAGAAATAATCATAATAATTTAAGACAGTTTTTTTAACCAACCATATAAAAATGGACAACCTTGGATTTTTCACCCAAGAAAACCATAAAACTCAGTTTAAAAAAAAATGGTCGCGAAGCATATACTGTGCTACAGATCGTATTATATTGCAGGTCAGATCTGTGGTATAGTGGAAAAAATACTCACTTTGGAGTCAGGAGATCTGGGTTCAAATCCTAGCTCTTAAACTTACTAGTTATGTGACACTGAGCATATCATTCCACTCTTTATACCTCAGTTTCCTTTATATGTAAAATGAGCACAATAATGTACTCCATTACAATGTGCTTACTATAGTATTTATATGGGTAGATAAGTGGCACAGTGAATGGAGGGCTGGGTCTGGAGTCAAGATGACTCAGTTTCCTGAGTTCAAATCCAGCCTCAGACACTTACTAGCATATTATCTATGTGACCCTGGGCAAGTCATTTAACCCTATTTGACTCAGTTTCCTCATCTGTAAAATGAGCTGGAGAAGGAAATGGCAAACCACTCCAGTATCTTTGCCACAAAAACCACTGATGGGGTTGGACACGACTGAAAAAACATGGAATAACAACAACAAATAGTGTCAATAACACTAATTGGGTTGTTATGAAGAAAGCATTGTATAAATTTTAAAGTGCTTTGGAAGCCTAAAAGTACTATAACTGTGAGCTATTTCTCTTATGTCTATGCATATACAATAATGACAACTGACATTTATGTAGAATTTGAAAAATTACAAAGCACTTTACATACAATACCTTATTTGATCCTTATGGTAGCCCTCTGAGGCAGTTAATAAAATATTAGCTCCATGCAGGAAGAAACTGAGTCTTATTGAGGTTAAGTGATCTCATAGGGTCACATAGATAATAAAGTATCCAATGCAGAATTTTTGTTTGTTTGTTTTGGTTTTTTAGGCAATTAGGGTTAAGTGACTTGCCCAGAGTCACATAGGTAATAAGTGTTAAGTGTTTGGTCTGAGGCCGGATTTGAACTTAGGTCCTCCTGACTTCAGGGCTGGTGCTCTATCCACTGCACCACCTAGCTGCACCTCTAATGTAGAATTTGAACTTGTGCTTTTCCTGGTTCTGAGTTCAGCATTTTTGACGTTATACCACAGAGTACAGAGTTATCTCTTCATAGCACAGAAAGCCTAAAATAATACTAGTGCCTCTCATCTTTATACCCAACATCAAAATGATGAGACCTTGTACTATGAACATATTTTCCCTGAAGGTCAGTAATTTCTTTAATATATATTTTATTTTCTCCCTTAATTACATGTTAAAACAATTTTTTAACATTTAAAAAAAAATTTTGAGTTCCAAATTCTATTCTTCCCTTACTCCATTCCCCTCTCCCTGAGACAATAAATAATCAGATATAGGTTATACATGTGCAATTATGTCAAACATTCATTTTGTACAAGAAGATTTGAATAAAAGAAAAAGAGTGAAAGAAAGAAAAGAAAAAATAGCATGCTTCCGTCTGTATTCAAACAGTATCAGTTCTTTCTCTAGAGGTGAATAGTATGCTTCATCATTAGTCCTTTGGGATTGTCTTGGATCATTGTATTGCTGAGAATAGCTAACAGTTCTTCACTGAACTCTTCACTGAACAACATTGCTGTTACCATGTACAATGTTCTCCTGGTTCTGTTCACTTCATTTTGCATCACTTACTTATGTAAGTCTTTCATGGTTTTTCTGAAATCATCCTTCTTGTCATTTCTTATAGCACATATTTCATTACAATCATATACCATAGCTTGTTTAGTCATTCCCCAATTGATGGGCATCCCTTCAATTTCTAATTCTTAGCCACCACCAAAAAAAAGAACCGTTATAAATATTTTTGTACAAATAGGTCCTTTTCACTTTTTTGGGATGTCTTTGTAATCTAGACCTAGTAGTGGTATTGCTGGATCAAAGGATATGCACAATTTTATTAGCCTTTAGGCATAGTTCCAAATTGCTCTCCAGAATGGTTGGATCACTTCACAACTATACCAAGTTAGGGGCAGCTAGGTGGTGCAGTGGATAGAGCTTCAGCCTTGGAGTCAGGAGGACCTGAGTTCAAATTCGACCTCAGACACTTGACACTTACTAGCTGTGTGATCCTGGGCAAGTTACAATAATTGCCTCACCAGAGAAAAAGCAAAAAACAAACAAAAACCCAAAACAACAACTCTACCAAGTGTCTTAGTGTTCCAGTTTTCTCACTTCCCCTTCAACTTCCATCATTTTCCTTTTCTGTCATGCTAGCCAATCTGATAGGTATGAGGTGGTACCTCAGGGTTGTTTTAATTAAATCACTTTTTTTTTGCCATCTTGAATTAGCATTTTATTTACCAAAGCAGATTTTCACCGTGTCACACTTTATCTTGAAAATCTGCTAATAAATTACAATATGTTGTAAAGATGCCTAGATATAACTTAGCTTGTACTATTTATAGATTGCTTATATGATCTTGATGATGGAGATATAAACTTTGAAGCAAACATTTACAGCTATTGCTTGTGATCTGGTCAAGCATTAAACTGGTTCAGGTATAAAACATTAACTAGATAAAACAAACATTAAAGTAATGGGCCTAAGTATAACAAAGTAAAACTTAACTTAGTGGCTCTCATCCCACATTCACTATACATAAAGAATGCCTTTCTTTTTATCTGGTAAAATAAACTAGTCCATGTAGAGCAAAATTAACTGAAAATTAGGTGGCTATCACCCTGTTTTCACTATATATAGAGAACCTCTTCCCCAGTCAACATTCAGGAGTTACGCTTTTTCTTCTCCAGTTCAGTTCCCAAACCTAACAAACCCCAAACAGTAATATTGGGGTTCCTGTTACAGTGAATGGAGCGAGCCAGAGGTAGGGTGCTTTTGACTAATGTTTTTTAAATAACAGCATAATGGCAAAACAAAGGAATTCATTTTAAAACCTTAAACCCTCAGAGATTTTGGGGTTATCATATACTGTAAATAAAATTCCTTCTTAAGGAATGAAGTTTAGGGGCAGGTAGGTGGCACAGTGGCACCAGCCCTGGATTCAGGAGGACCTGAGTTCAAATCCAGCCTTAGACACATAACACTTACTAGATGTGTGACCCTGGGCAAGTCATTTAACCCCATTGCTTATACTCCCCCCCCCAAAAAAAAAGAATGAGGTTTAAATTTAGCCGTGGCATACCACATGTAATCAGAATTATTTGTTACATGCAGACAACACCTAGGCAACACAGCAAAAGCAGAAGCATCATAGCACATCCCAAACTGATAAACAACCATACAGACCAAAACATCAACATAGAAAGTTTTCTGATGGTGAATTCAATACGAAATTTTAATTTCAGAGTTTAACAATTATTAATGTTTGTGTACATTCAGTCAATCGAGAATCAAACCTCAGTCTAAGCCACTGCATATACACATTGAAATAAAAAGTACAAGTCATGAAAAAACGTGTGGGGGCTTCTTTACCATAAGGAAATAATTAACAAATGTTTAACTATCTTGCGCCCTGAACATCATAAATTGCAGTCAGCATTTTGTATTACTGATTTTATTAACTTTTAAAAAACACAACTGTAGTTGAATATTATAATAAACAATAGCTATTACTGAGTGTGTTAAGATGATTGTAGTCCTTCACTCAATCACTATTGCATCCAAAAGCCAGCAGTACAATGAAGAGTATTCACTGGCCCCCATTAAGAAAGAGGTTTGATCCTGAATCCCGTTTCATGGTGCATTTCTCTAATCAATTATGACTTAGAGCATTTTTTCATATGACTATAGATAGCTTTGATTCTTTGTCTGAAAACTGTCTGCTCATATCCTTTGACCATTTATCAACTGGGGAATGACTTGTTTTTTTATAAATTTGATTCAGTTCTCTATATATTTGAGAAATGAAGATTTTATCAGAGATACTTGTTGCAAAAATTTCCCCCCAGTTTTCTGCTTTCCTTATAACTTTTGTTGCCTTGTTTCTGTTTGTGCAAAAACTTCTTAATTTTATATAATCAAAATTATCTATTTTACATTTTGTTATGCTCTATATATTTTCTTTGGTCCTAAATGCTTGCCTTATCCATAGATCTCGGTCAGTAATTTAGAACAACTAGCTTTTCTTACATTTTATGCTCATTGTTTTTAAATTTCTGGAACTTAATATTCAGTTGAATTCTGAAAAATCTTTTAGTTTATTTCTTTGGATTGGTAGAAAGGATTATGTTTATTCACACCACATATCTCATTACCCCTCACAGTATAGTTAATAACTGCATATTGAATGAATGAATGAAAAGAACTTTTAAAAAATCTTCTGAGTTCAAGGAAAAATAAGTGTTTAAGTCTAGAAAAGAGAACATCTAATAAATCAGCAGTATATTGACAATTTACCCACATATCATTTTTTGCAGGGGGGGGACTTTTAGGAAGTAGGGTGAAGTGACTTGCCCAGGGTCACACAGCTGGTAAGTGTCTGAGGCCAGATTTGAACTCAGGTCCTCCTGAAACTAGGGCTGTTGGCTCTATCCACTGTGCCACCTAGCTGCCCCCCACATATCCATTTCTCAAATGAAGCCATCAAATTGCTAAAATGATACTTATGTTTGTGAATTTGATTTAATACACAGGATAGTCAAATGCAGCAACTGGAGCTGGAGCTTGAACAGGTGAATCAAGAATGCAGATCTCTGAGACTTTCAGAATCACAGCTGAGAGAGAAGCTTGACGAAAACCTGGGTCAGGTGCGTGCCAGCTGTGGCCCTCACAGATTCTCGCCTGCTCCATATGTGCCATAAATGGCCAGGCTGAGTTTTGAAAGTCCTGGCACTAATTTTAGTGTGACATTAGGTGAATGACTTAAGTTCTCTTCGGGTCTTCATATGGAGAGTTTAAATCATGAGGTGGTTTTATGTACAGGACTCTTGTGAAGAAACTGGAAAATGTAAAGGGTCACTGGAATCATGTGTGGTAACTAATGATAACAATATCTGTATCTGTGTCTATATATATCATAACTCAGCTTTAATGTTTGCAGAACACTTTGTATATCTCTTTAGTGTCTTATGACAATCCTGGAGAGCAAATACTATAGGTATTATTATTCTTATTCTATAGGTGAGGAAATTGAGGCTCAGAAAAGTTTAGTAATGTGCCTATCAAGAGGGAATAGTGGTAGGAAAGATGATCTATCTGCAGAACTGCCATCATTAATGTATAACAATTACAGTTGTCCAAAAATGGAATGGATTGCCCCAGCTAATGTCAGTTATGGAGAGTGGGTCTTGAACCCCAGGTCTTGTGGATTTCTATCATGCCATACTTCTTCTAGATAGGATGCTGAAATTAGAGGTAAAAGGATGGGATCACAAATATGTATAGGAGATTGTTTTGACTGTATCTTAAAAATACAAAAATGAATCAGTCTTTCTTATTCTTGGCATGTGTCAGATCTGATGTTGGAGTCTAGACAGAGCCAAAAGCCCCACCAGTTCCAAAGGAGTCACACTATTGTAAATGTGAGCATCGCCAGCCCAACAGAAATATGCAGAGAATTTGGCTGTTATGTCTAGAGGTTTGCCCTCAGTTCTACACTTGAACATATATAATGATGTCCCTCCTCTGAGTCTAGCCTTGAACTTACTCTTATGTTCCAGAGCTGAGATCAGTAATAGAGTTGGTCTGCTTAAGGAGCCTCTCAAAATACGTCCTCACACTCAGGAGCAGGCCAACCCAAGCCTGCTTGCAAGATAGCAGGTCAGGACTAAGACATCTGCTGAGACTAATTAAGTCCCTAACACTTATAGAAAAGGGAATAGTGGTAGAAAAGATAATACAGTTGCAGAGATGCAGCTGTTAATAACTGTCCAAAAATGAAGTGGGTTGGCTAGAGAAGTAGTGAGTTCTCCATTACTGAGGGCCAACTAGGGCTGGATGACCAGCTATAAAGGATGTTGTAAATGGCATCGCTCTTCATGTATAGGCTGGACTAGATGGTTCTGAGGCTCCTTCCATCTTTGAATTTCAGGATTTTGTAACGTTGTACTGTCTTGTGCGTGGTACTTTTGACACTTCTAGAGCTGAAGGGAACCTTGAGAAACAGTCATAGAATCATACAATCCCAGAGTTAGAAAACTCTTCAAAGGCCATCTATCCTGACCATTATCTGTTATAGAATCCCCTCAATACCAGCCTTAGCAAGAAGTCATCCAGTCCCTGATGTTTAAATACCTTCAGTTTAAGGGGGCTCATTACCTGTACTGTAGCTATGCCATCTCAGACTGACCAGACTAATTTTAGTTTCTCGAGGAAGGAGATTTTCATAATGCGTCTCAAGGATTCATTCCAGGAAATTTCCGCCTTAATTCTTGCCTAAGACTTGCAACAACATAAGCTGATTCTTTTGTGATTTGAAGTATGTTGGTAAAATTTGATGATGGTCATACACTACAGACAAGAAAAATTACATGAGGTTGCAAAATAGACAAGTGGACAAGAAAGAACCAAAATAGTATCTCTTTTGAGAAATGCAGTCTCATCTATTTTGGGGACAAATGAAAAAGAACATGATTGTTCTGTTTTGTTACTGTTAAGTAGTTTCAGTTGTGTCGAACTCTTTGTGACCCATTTGGGGTTTTTTGGCAAAGATATTGGAATGGTTTGCCATTTTCTTCTCCAGCTCATTTTACAGATAAGGAGACTGAGACAAATAGGGTGAAGTGACTTGCACCAGGCTCACACAGCTGGTTAAGTGTCTGAGATCAGATTTGAACTCAGGAAGATGAGTCTTCCTGTCTTGAGGCCCAGCCCTCTATCCACTGTACCACCTAGCTGCCCCTTTACATTGTTCTGTAGGAGGAAAATTGTTTTTGTTATTGTTATATTTTGTTATTTGTTTTTGTTATTTACACTTGCATAAGTCCAAAGTGAAAGAATGCCCAAAGGACATAGGGTGAAAATGAAGAACAAATTATAGGCACTAACAGAGATAAAATGATAGAAAGAAAATCAAGGACTGTTGGAGTTTGCTGGTGTTTAACACTGGTTCCCCTCCCTAGAAAGATAGGGCCAGTGTTTAACAGTGTTTTAGATGCTTTTTGCTTTGAAATTCTGGCGTTTGGTATGTGGCCAAATGGAGCAAAATTACCTGTTGTTACAGCAATCAATCAGGAGTATGTTAAGTGCTTGCTGTGTCTATGCTGAACATTGGTGATATACAGACGGGTGAAATGGCCCTGCCCTCAAGGGAGTGCTCTAAAGAAGAGGTAGCAGGCTACCTAGCCTACAGAATGAGGAAGTGAATAAATGGTGATGCCCCCGTGGGACCCAGAGGGCGAGGAGAGAATTTCACTTCCCTGGATGTGTGAGACGGTTAAACTGTACTAGAAATTTACTTCCTCCGTCATGTGATAGTCAAGGAGGATGCTTGAGAATTGATTCGGTAAACTGCTTTTCTCACATAGAAAATAAGAAGGAAGGGTTAGGAGGACAATTGAAAAAGTATATTTCAGAATAGCAGCTGTCCTCTATTATCTTTTCTAATGAAAGGCCACTTATAGGCTACCTGTCAGGGATACTTTTCAGAAGTGCAGTACAAATGCAGGTGGTTGACTCTTGACTCTTGTTAATGAGAGGAGACCTAGATTGGGGTACTTTATAATCATGGTTCTAGAGGAAATGCAAGGAAGTTCAAAACGACCAGGGTGACCATTGTATTCTTTAATATAATTTTTTTTTCATTATGAACTGGAAAGTCACCAAAAAACATGAATATTTCCATGCACAAAGAAGACTAGTGAATGAGGATGTTAGATGCAACTGCTAGTCAGCTATATACAGCTTGTTCTTTGTAATACAAGTTAAATTTAGTGTGGTAGTACCAGCATTGCTCTGCTTTTCTGTCTCCATCTCCTGTCTCCCCTGGGTATTTTTAAAAACATTTCATTGACACACTTTGCTTTCTTTTCTTCCTTTTTTCATTTTATCACTATCATTATCCTCCGATTTCCCCCATCCAGTTAAAAAACAAAAGCCTCTTTTTGAACAAAAGTATAATCAATCAAAATATATAATTGTAATGGTTGTATCAGGAAATACATGTCTTCTACATCTATAGCCTTTCCCCTCTCTACCAACAGGTGGGAGACATGCTTCATCATATATCTTCTGGAGTCATGATTGTCACTATGTAACCAAGCCCCGGTTTATCTGCAGCTAGTAGAAGGGGATTAAAATAAGAGTGAAAGATTTGAAGGGACTCTGGGGCTGGGAGGCAGTTGAGGCCTTAAAACTGTCACGCCAGCTGTTATTTCTCTGGAAAAAGACTTGAAAAATTTTGGGTGTCATATATCCATATTTGTCAGTAAAAATTTCCCAGTCATGGAAGCCAAAAATTGCCTTTGTTCTGAGGAGAACTTACCAGTCTCTGCACAGTGCAGGAGAAGTTCTTGGTAGTAGAGACATGGCTAGTGCTTAGCATGGTGTTGAAGGGACTTAATCAACGCTGATTAATTGCTTTGGCCTGCCGAATAAAAACTGAATGGCAGCAGTGGCATCCCCTTTAAAGTAGATTTCTGGAGTTTCCTCATGAGAGCTCACTTTTCATTTTGGTTCCTCTCAGTTTGGGTAATAAGGACAGTAGCTTTATTTCTTTTCATGGTAATGTTGTGAATGATAATGTAATGAACTATATGTTATCAGCCACATTTGGGATGTAGAAGGCTAGTCTGGGGTTCTGGTTAATAAAGCTAACATATAAACCATACTTGGTATAATTATAATAATAGCAAACATAAGTGCCTGCTGTGTGTCAGGCACTGTGCTAATAAGCATTTTACAGTTATCTCATTTTATCCTCGCAACAACCCTGGGAGAGAGGTGCTATCAGTATTCTAATATAACAACATTTATATATGAATTTATATATTTATATCTTTTGTGTTTATTTCTGTATTTTTATATATAATTTATATATTTATATTTATACAAGTGGGAAACTAGGTGGAGAGAGTGCCAGGCCCGGAATCAGGAAGACTAATCTTCCTGAGTTCAAATCTGACCTCAGATATTTACCATCTGTGACCCTGGGCAAGTCATTTAACCCTGTTTGCCTCAGTTTCCTCATTTATAAAATGAGCTGGAGGAGGAAGTGGCAAACCACTCCAGTGTCTCTGCCAAGAAAACCCCAAATGGGGTCACGAAGAGTCAGTTATGACTGAAGAACAACAACATTTACATAAATAATATTTATATTATTATTTCATTTTAGAGATTAAAAAACTGAAGCAAATAGATTAAGATTAGACTTGCCCAGGGTCACACAGCTAATATGTGTCTGGGGTCAGATTTGCACTCAGATCTTCTTCAATCTAGGCTTAGTGCTGTAATTCACTGTACCACGTAGCTGCCCCAATTTTTTAGAGAATTTGAATATAATAAAACACTTAAAGCAAAAACTCTCTTGACCTGAGCTTAAGCCTTTATTGATAGTTTAGAAATGCTTAAGCATCCTGCAGTACCTCAGGATAAGTTAGGAACATAATTTTTTGTTCTGTAGGTGGGCCAGGATATGGTTATTGAGGAGTTTTGGGTGATGGATGCCAGTTTTTTAAAAAAATAATTTTATTAGAGGGTTATTGGTGGATGGTGGAACATTTGTAAATTTTAAAGTGTTATATAAATGTGAATAATTATTGTTCTAAGACCAAAAAAGAATTCTGAGCATCTCTTCGAACTTTGGTGGTTAGGTGTTTCCTATACTTTGGTGTTGTTGCTGCCTGTCATCCTATACTTGCCTGGCCTACCAGAGCCTCCTTTGCTACCGTTTCTGGTAATAACTCTGATTTTCAGAATTTTTCTGTAACTGTTGTGCCTTTCCTATTGGGATGTAGTTACTAGAAGCCAAGGCAAAGTTGAAGCTGGCGCAGTCCCAACACACAGAGGAGATGTTTCAAGTAAAGGAGCAGATGTGCCAGTTGGTGCCTCAGGATTATGTGACTGAGTTACAGAATGCATTGGCAGAAGAACAACAGACAGTCCAGCATCTCCGGGAGGATTTTAAATTCCGCACAGAGCAAGCGAGTAGACAACTGGCAAGCCAGAAGGTAAGCAGGGCACGCTGATGTGAGGTGCTGTATTCAGAATCCTGGGACTTAGTTCTGGAACAAGTTTCAAGATGTCTATCTGAGAGTCACTTTGCTGATATTGAAAGGTGTGTTTTGGCTTATCATTCAATTATTCAGAAAAACAAAACCCAAACTAGAATTTCCCCCAAAATGACTTTTTTTTTCATGAATCTCTAAAACAAATGAAATGGAAATTATTTTAGCCGGGCTTAACCATGTTTGTTCATTCCCCTAAGGCCTCATTACTAAAAATTAATCAATGTTGGCTTTTCTCTCTAAAGGCCATTCAAAAAGGGGCAAGCTTAGGAGATAACTGATTACATCTGTGCAGCCAGTCCATTAAAATTCATGGCTGCTGCTTTTTTTTGTTCTCAAAACCAAGATACTGCTAAATTGGACCTCTCCAGCAGGCCAACCAGTGGAGGGGATGAGAGGAATTGTAATTAATTTGCACATGAATTCCCATGAGGCTTTATGGAAAACACAACATATTCCTAATGCCTTCCTCTCTTTTTAAAAATAAAACAAAACCTTTAGGGATCTTTGTCTCACAAAGTGTTTTCACCAATTTATTCTTTACCTCTGGATTTTCATATTCAAAACCAATGTTGGGGGTATTAAAATCTGTCACAGATCAGAATGAATACTACAGAGCTGTGGTGCTAGAAAACTATTTAAATTACACATATGCTATATAACTGTGAGCTATTACTAAGTAGGAGAGAAAGATGGTCACTGTTTTTAACATACATGTCTGTATCTCAGGGATCTCCAGAAATGGTACAGGGTGTCAAAGAGACCAACTACTGTAAGAAAGGTTACACCCAAGCAGACATAACAGCAGAGTGAGATTTTATTCCCACTGGAAACTGGAACTAAAGAAGGAGTTAGAAATCTGAGATGAATGAGAAAAGAGGAAAGAAATTGAGGGAAAGATATGGTTATTTCAATGAAAAAGTCAAATAACAAGAATGATCTCTACTAAGGAAATAGCCACAAGTTTTCAGACAAAAGCATATGTAATTAAAGTAAAACCAATTAAAAATAACTTGAAAATATATAGAGAGAGTCATAGACAGACAAGAGACAGAGAGGAAAAGGGAAGGCAGAGACAGAGAGGAGACATCTACGGAAATGGTGTGATTAAAAGAAATTCTATTAATTCTGTCTTAATTTGAGAGATGTATTTTTAATGCTATCTAGAATTCCAGTCCATAAATGCATTGATTTCTGAATGCTCCCCTAAAAATGTTGGATTTTCTGGAATGTTTTTGGGGGGGTGACCTAGTGGAGAGAACACAGCTACAGATGATTGTTTAAGCTGCATTTAAGAATTTATATTTGCTTAATAAGGGCCTCAGAGAAACTCAAAACTGAGTCTTCTTTCCATCTATTTGCTGCTGCAGGTATTAGTAAATGTTCAAATATCCTAAACATATTGCATATCATAAACATTTATGGCTTAGAAGATAAGTCTGTGGGAATTGCCTAAGTCACACAGGGGTTGAGTGACTTACCTAGGTTTTTCTGTAGCTAGTGTCAGAGATAATATTTGAAGCCAGATCTTCCATACCTAAAACACAGCACTCTACCCTCTATTCCATGCAGCCTCTATAATTATAATGCTTTAACATGTGAAGGTGTACGAAAAGTTCAAAGGATGGAAAGGTCACTCTGGCCGAGGTGCCAGATGTTTCATAGAAGATGGAATTTGAGCTATATCTTGAAGAATGGGTAGGATTGGAATAGATACAGATGGTAGAAGAGAGCATTACAGGCAAAATGAACAGTTTGAGCAAAGGCCTAGAGTCCAGAAAGGTCGAGGAGTGGCCAAAGAATTATAAACAGTGAAGTAGATGAGAGCATGGGATGTATGGAGAGAACAGCATGAGATGGGATTGGAAATAGAGGTTTGTACCACATTGTGAAGGGTCATGGATGCCATGCTTGGATTTTATTCAGTAGGCAGTGGGAAGCTACTGAAGGTTTTTGAGTGGAAGAATAGTGTTGAAGGTTCATTAAAAAGAGGGGGAGGGGACAGCTAGGTGGCATAGTGGATAGAGCTCCAGCCTTGGGGTCAGGAGGACCTGAGTTTAAATCTGGCCTTAGACACTTGGCACTTACTAGCTGTGTGACCGTGGGCAAGTCACTTACCCTGATTGCCTCACCAAAAAAGTAAAAAAATAGAAATTAAAAAAACAAAACAACAATGCTGATTTTGAATGCCTTCCTCCAATACAGTGTCAAACTCTAATCTAAACAGAGCAACTAAACTATATATTAAGATGTTTGCAGATTGCATATTGACCATGTATCAATGTTATCTATATTTCATTGCATTTTTATTTACTTTGTTAAATATTCCCCGATTATATTTTAATCTGGTTCAGCCAGAACTCAGGAGTGTTGTGGGCCAAATCTAGTTCACATGTTTGACATTTCTGCCCTAAAGCATTAATTTGATGCTTCATTATAATGCTAGTGATAGTGATAACTGCTAGTTACATAGTACTTCAAAATGTATAAGGCAGTTTATGTAGATTACTTAATTTGATCCTTACAAAAAGCCTCGAGATAAATGCTACAGGTATTTCTGTCTTCATTTTGCAGTTGAGGAAACAGATTGAGAAATTAAATGGGTTGAAAAGGTGACATAGTATCAAAGGCAGAAATCAATCCCAGGTCTTCCTAATGTCAAGTCCAGCCCTTTAGCCACTATTCCATGCTTTGGCTGAAGTCTTCAAGTATAGGCACAGGAATGGACTGTATATCTGCAGTCTAAGAACCTGCCTACCTAAGTGCAGAGACACTCGCCATCAGGAGGTCGGATTCAGGTGAGAATTTTTTTGGCCAGAAGAACAAGTGAAAATGATCTACCAAGATATGGAGGGGTTGCAACCTGTAACCACACAGGTGAAACCACAGATCCTTTAAGTATTGAAGTAATACTTTTGAAACATGATACAAAGTGGTTTGAGAAGTGACCATACAATTTGGTCATAGGATCATAGATTTATAGTTGGAAGGTACCACTTGTTTTACAGATGAGAAAAATGAGGCAAAGAATGGGTAAGGGACTTGCCCAATATCATATCTAGTAAGTGTCTGAGCTGGGATTTGAATTCAGGTCTTCCTGACTCCAAATCTAATGCTTTATCCACTGTATCAGGGATTCTCTAGTCCAGTGTCACTTTTGAAGAACATAAATCTTTAAGTTTTCTAAATGCTGTCAATAGCTTTATGAGTTCAAAATTTCTTGGAAAAAAATTAGAGGAAATATAAAATTGTGGATGAGTTGCTGATCTTCCATCAGTAGGGGGAATTTCCACACCTAGACTTCCCCCACCTAGACTGCTTAAACCATAGATCTGAACTCTTCCCTCTCCTTCTCCGCCCCAAATTGATATAAACAGCAGAAGGTTGGTAGCCACGCACTAGTTTAAAAACCGTAGTCAATCCAAGCTGAGAAGTAGTGCTGTCTTTGATGAGAGTAAAAAACAAAGCATGACAGATTAGAGGTAATTATCTGAAACCCAGAAGATGATTAATGGTGGTATGCTGACAGAGCTGATCAATACAGTATTGAACATGGGTTTACAGTGTGTTACGGCAGTCAGCCTCTCCCAGGATTAACTAGGAAGGCTTCTCCAGAGGCAAACTCAATAGAAACAGGGGTAATTAACCTGTACATTAGGATACCTGTATACTAGGAAGAAAAGTCCCTGAGTAGGATTACTTGAACTGCCCTTAGAAATTCCATTTACTTTGAAGCATGTCAGTCCCCAAAAGATACAGGCAAATTCCAGAGTCAAGAAAAGAGCCCCCAAGGGATGAATGGAGCAGAGATGAATATGCAGGACAGATCACATAATCTCAAATCTAGTCCAACCTGTACCTGAATAGAAATATCTTCTACAACATCCCAGATGACAGCTCCAGTGAGGGGCCAGCCACAACCCCAGAAAGCAATCCATTCCATTTAAGGATGCTTTCCTTTCATTTAGCTGTAAGCTGTCTAATTGTAGCTTCTATCATAGGTCTGCCCTCTGGAGCCAGGTAGGACAAGTGAATTCTACATGATATCTCTGTAAAATATTTGAAGATTGCAGTCATTCCAGCCTCATCTTCCCGCAGTCATGGGAGACAAATCCCACTGAGTTGTCTTTTCTCCAGGCAAAAAAAGTCTTTGAGTAAATCCTTGTGTGGGACTTCCTTGAGTCTCTCACCATGATGGTTGCCTTCTCTGGCACATGTCAGCTTCTCAAAGTCCTTTCTGAAATATGGCCAGAATTGAAGACAGTATTGTGGATGTGGTATGACCAGGACAGACAGTAAAGCAAAACTGTTCCCTCCCTTTTGGACATACGCATGTGCTAAATCATAGAAAGCAATAAATAGCAGTTAAATAAAATAAAAGAAATATTTCAGGGCATTACATGCTTGTCAAACGAATGGTACACATGGTAAATACTGTCAGTAATTTAGAAGAGGTAGAGATAATTGGGGTCTGACATAGAAGTTTTAGAAGGCTTCATGAAAGAGATCTGAGATCTTGAAATATAGGCAGGCTCTAATATTTAGGAAGTATAAATTACAAAGAGAAAGAATAATGTAAGAAATAGTAGGCTACAAGTAATTATGGCTGAACAATGGAATAGGGATAGAGACTGGAATTATCATAAAGAGCACTCCCAGGTGAGAAAAATTCCTCTACTGATGCATATCCTCACTTTGTGTTCAGCTTATCATCTTAGAAGGTTGCCTAGAGCACTGAGAGGTTTAGTGAACTGTCCTAGGTCACACAGCATTGGAATAGGATAGACTAAATGTAAAGAAAACTATACTGGAAAACCTTCTGGGTTATTATTCCATCACTTTCAAAGCATTAATTATAAAACTCTTAGGTTTATTCTACTTTCTAACCCTGAGCCGTCTTTTAATAATAGGCTAGGTGGTCTGACTCTGGTTTCTTGAAAAAGAAAAAAACGAATATTTAGATGGCACCTTTTGTGTGTCAGACATGGCACTAAATGCTTTACAATTATATCGTTTGATTCTCACAACAAGGGCTATTATTATCTCCATTTTAGAGTTGAAGAAATTGAGGAAGACAGAGGTTACGTGACTTGCCTAGGGTCACACGGCTAGAAAGTGTCTGGGGCTAGATTTGAACTCAGTTCTTCCTGACTCTAGGTCCAACACTCTATTCACTGTACTACCACCTATCAGCCTGCTCTTTTAAAAGGAAGTATTTTTATGGTATTTTAGCCCACTCTATTACTCTATTATATTTTAATATGTTAGCATTGCAACACTTTCTAAAGCATTACTGCATATAGTTTCAAACCTATATTCAGATATGTATGTATATCTCAGATACTCAGATTTGCTCTGTATTTTGAAGTATACAAACAAGGCCATTCCACTATGAATTTAAAATGGTGATTTGTACACTTTTCTGACAGGAACACCATGAAGAACAGCTTAAAAATATGGAAGAGAGGGTGGAAGAGGTAGAAATGAATTTGAAAAACATGGAAATACTGTTGCAAGAGAAAGTGGAACAGTTGAAAGAACAAGTAAGTGATGCTAGCTTTAACCATTTTTGTATTTGCCTCCTTTTTTCCTGAATATTTTTTCGAATGATATTGATCTGCTACTTTGGAGAAGACTGCTGTAGATTACAGTGCAGAGAAAGCAGTGCTGAGCCTGGGGCTCTGCTAGAGAATACTTCTTGGCAGCCAGGGACTGGCTTTTGAGTTTAAATGTGGCCCATTTCCTCATCCAGTCTGTGTATCCTAGACACTTGATATGGGCTATGAGAAAAGAGTGATGGATGGGAAATCAGGAGACCCGGATCCAAAGTGTGAGCAAGACATTTCATCTCTTAGGGTCACGGTGTTCTCATTTACAAAATAACAAGAAATGATATCTTAAGGAGTCTCTAAGCTCTAAGAATGTTAGGGCTCTGTGGCTAAACACTTGTTAGTTGGTGACAAAAAGAAATATATAAATATACAAAGATTCTTGATTTATCAGCATGGAAAACTCTTTGTATAGGAAGTCTGTCCACCATTGCAGATCCCAATCCCAATCCATCTGGTCTCTCAGTTAGGGAACTGCTGAAGGGATGCAAAGGTTAAGTAGCTTGTCAGTGGTCTCCCATCGCAATAAGTATCAGATTCAGGACCTAGATATTCCTGAAAATTCTATTCCCTGTGCCATGCTGTTTTCTGGCATGGAAGTAAGACTTGAAAAATTAGAATATCTTTTGAGAATAATGTATACTTCCCACTGCTGCCACCAATGAATGTTAATTTTTTTAATGTAGTCCAGACAGGACTGATGTTTAACCTGGGAACACCTGGAGAAGAAGAACAATCTGTGGATGGTCATTTACTTTGACCACATATGAGGGGAGTTAGATGTATTGAACATTTTCTAGAATGTCCAAATAGCTTTAAATAAGAAATAGAAAAGCCACTATCTAATTAATGAAAACCAAAGTCATCAGTATAAGTACTGGGTAATCTGACCTCTATTGAATGCCTAGTACTTTGCTAGGCACAGCAGGAGATTCAAAAGAAGACACAGGTCTTGTGTGTGCAAGTTTATGACATAGTTAAGGATGCAAGATATCCCTATTTAATACAAGAGCAAAACACAATGCAATCAAATGCAACACGGTATGGTATTGAGTGGGGGCAGCTAGGGGTGCAGTGGATAGAGTGCTGAGCCTGGAGTCCGGAAGGCTTATCTTTGTGAGTTCAAATCTGGTCACAGATGCTTATTAGCTGTGTGATCCTGGCCAATATACTTGACCCTGTTTGCCTCATTTCCTCATATGTAAAATGAGTTGGAGAAATGGCAAATCACTCCAGTATCTTTGCCAAGAAAACCCCAAATGGGGTCATATGAAGAGTTGGACACAACTGAAAAACACCTGAACAACAAAATGTTGTTGACTATAAATGTTTCAGAAAATCAAAGAATTCTAAAAGAAATTGAAAGGATATTTTATTATTGGTGGTTTTATTATTTGAAATTAAATGATACAGAAATTAAGCATCTACTGTGAAAGGCACTGGGGGTACAAAGACAGAAGTGAATAGTTTCTGCTCTCAAGGTGCTATTTTGGAGGGTTTGAAGATGCCCTTGACTGAGACTGCCCAGGATACATCTCTGCACACTTTTATACATCTCTGCACAAATTAAATGCATCTGTGCATTTAATATATAAAAAGTCATTTTTTACAAGATCTTTCAAGTCACATTCCAATGCAGGAAACATTTCATGTAGAACAAACAGTCTGTATTCTTACAAGCATTCAGTCCTTGTGTTATGATAACCTGTACCTCCATAACTTGAACATGACCAGGAATAAGGGGTTGGTATTGACATCATTATAAATGAAAATTATGTTTGAATCTTGTCAACAGCAGATTTAAATTCTTAAGTTTATAAAGCCTTCTTATTTCAAGGATTTGTGATTTCATCAGTGTAGGAACTCACTCAACAAATGTGTAGATCACAACTCTTCTATGAATTAATAGATGTTCAAAAAGTTGATTTGGCTAAAAAATCCATCACCTTTTGACTGATTTGATGGTGACCCTCTCCAGATTTAGGAGGTCTTGAGATGATAAGAATCCATGATCAGGTCTATAACTCAAAGCCTTTCCAGCTTGGTAGGATCTTACAGATCTTGGGCTCTGATGGTGTAAGTGCCCCACATGCCTTGAGGTATTAAAGTAGGACTTTAGTCATCAGCATATAATAAGCTTAAAACTATTTAATGAATAGAAATTTGCAAGTGTTCCTAGGGCCCTAGCTTTCTCCCAGGCCAGCACTAAAGCATGCTGGTTTTATTTTACTTCCTATACAAGAAAATTAGCTGGTAAATTTAAGAATTCTCAAAATAAATAGCTCATTGATACGACTTATTGGAAATGAATGCTGAAAACTAAAAATTAATTTAAAAAAGATATGGCTTGTCTACTTTTTTAAAATTCATATTAAAAATCACATTTTCCCCCTGATTTTCCACACTGTAGTTTGAGGGTCACCATTTTTACTATGAATGAGAAAAAAACACTCATCAATTAGTATTTTTTATAGTTCTGGATCAAAGTCATAACATATTAAGTGAACACCGTGTGATATACAGGGTCCCTAAGCACATTCATTTATCAAACATATAATGTACCTGATGTAGGATCATAGAATGGAACATCATATCAAGTAGTATATGTTGCTTGTTTTTTCCTAGTTTGCGAAGAATGCAAAATCTGATTTGCTGCTAAAAGACCTGTATGTGGAAAATGCTCACCTAATGAAAGCTCTCCAGATTACAGAACAGAAGCAGAAAGGTGCTGAGAAAAAGAATTTTGTCTTGGAAGAAAAGATTATCGCTCTCAATAAGTTAATAAACAAGATCACTCCAGCATCTCTCTCTGTGTAAAAACTATTTAAAAAATCCTTTTGAGAGGATGTTCACATTTCTAAGAATCTTGCCAGTTATGAACAACCAGCTAGTGGTCCCATCATACAGATGGGGATCACGATATTGGGGTCCAGAGTGGGATCCACATGTTGCCTTGAGGCTGCAGGTTCCTCACCCCTGGGATGGACTGTCAAGTGTTCATTGAGGGCTTCAACTGACCTTGGGTAACTTCCCATCTGCCTCTCAACAGAGTTTAACTGCTTATTGATTGGGTGATGGAGGGTGGGGTGGTTTCTTCAGGGAGAAATGCATGGGAGGGAAAAACAACAAAACACATTTCAACAAAACAAAGGCTTTCCTTTGGTCTCCCCTGGCCCAGATGAGCAGAAAGTCATTATCTTGCAAATCTTTATTAAGATCGATCATTCCATAGTTATTTCCTTCTGACTCAGGTAATTTTAACTTTTGTACCCAGGTAAAAACTATGTAAAGGGGCACTCTCACTTCATGACATGACAAGTAGCTCTTTATTTGTGAATTCCCTCTTTTAGCAAATTACCCTACAATAAGGGAACTGCATAGGTTGCACACAGGTCTATGGGCTCAGGTCATGATGCTATTTATTGTAAATGCAATCTTCTCCCCTTGAGTTTTGTCTTTACACTGGAAGTTGTATTATATGTAAAAAAATGTATAGTTTTTATATCTGTGCGTATATAAACCATGGATATTTGGTTTATCTAAATGTATAGCTATAAATGAAATTACTGTATTTGCTTTGGTACGTTTTCAATAAGAAAAGTTTTAATATTAAAAATGTCAATGTCTGAAAGTTTGTGGATTTTCTTTTTCTAAATAATAAGTGTTTATATAGTGTCTGTTATGTGCCAGGCTAAGCACTTTACAAATATTATCTCATTTGATCCTCTCAAAAATGCTGGGAAGTAGGTGCTATTATCCCCATTTTATAGTTGAGGAAAGTGAAGCAAACAGAGTAAGTATCTGAGGCCAGATTTGAACTTAAAAGCATTTCAGAAGCAGGTAGACCTAAGAAAGTGGGTTGGAGGTTATAGTGACCAAGCTATTTAGTTCGTTAACTCCTCAAATACCTAAGTTTCTTTTCTATGGTTAGTATACATGAATAATTTCATTGATTTTTTTTTTAACCTGAAAAATACATATATGCATAGTCCAGCAAAACAAATCTCACATTAGTCATCAGAAAATGAATGCCTTTAAGTGTTAAGTTCATTATCTCTCTGTCAGAAAGGGTTTGGTGTTTCTCCATTCTTTTGGACTTGTAGTTTATCATTATGTTGATCAGTGTACTAAAGCTTTCAAAATTATTTTTCAATATATTGTTATCACTGTGAAGACTGTTCTAGTTCTGCACACTTCATTTTGCATCAGATGAAACAAGTCTTCTCAACTTCCTCTGGAAATGTCCATTTTGCTATATCTTATAGTACAATAACATTCCATTTCATTCATGTAACACGTTTAGCCATTTCCCAATATGACAATATCCCTTTAGTTTCCAACTTGACTGCCATGAAAGAAGCTGTGAGTCAGTCAATAAAACTCATGCCGGTCTCCTGGGCTAGCCTTTTTCTGATTGCTGAGGACCCTTCTTATCTGCAGGGGATCTGAGACTGCCTGACAGGCTACTATGAAAAGAACTGCTATAAATATTTGCATTTTTCCTCTTCCTTTGACTTCCTTGGTATATAAGTTTATACATACAGGTATATAGCTGGGTGAAAGGATATGCACATTTTAGTAATTTGGGGGGTATAATTTCAGATCAATACCAATAGTACATGTGTATACTTCTTTTCCCTCAGCCCCTCCAAAGCCTTGCTAAGAATGGGATGCATTAATGTCTAGCCCACGTAGGAAGTATAGATTTGAGAACCTAGATGTCAAACTACAGCAATCAGACTCAGGTAGTGGGCATTTCATACATTTAGGATAACAGGATTATTAAAGAGCTAGAAGGGACCTTTAGAGGTTATCTAGTCCAAACCCCCTCAACTTAAAAATGAGGAAACTCAAGCACATGGTGGTAGAGCTGGGATTTGAACCCAGATCTTCTGACTCCAAACTCAGCACTCTTTCAACTACAGACCAGGAGTTCCTACAGCGTTTTTATTTTTTGTCTCCCCTTTGGCGGTATAATGAAGTCTATGGTCTCCTCAGAATGATGTTTTTAAATACATAAAATACATAGGACCACAAAGGAAACCAATTACATTGAAATAGTTTACAAAATATTTTTTAAAAATCAAATTCACACCCCAGGTTGAGAATTCTCGCTCTATAACAAACTGTCTATATAGTTCTGAGTCTTCTCTATATATTCCCTCTCAAAATGTATGTTTTGGGGGCAGACTGTGAAGGTAGTTATTACAGGTATTATCTCCATTTTATGCATAAAGAAACAGGTTCAAAGAATTGATTTGCTGATGTTTAAAAAGTTAGTATCAGAGGAGGAATTTTGAACTCTCTTCTCCTGCTTCCAAGTGCAGCATTCTTTAAATTATGCCATGTCAATGTGATTCGGACAATCGTGACACTGTCAACCATATAATTGAGAGGCACTCCTTACATGGAGCTATCACATGAAACTATAAAGTAAAATGAACCAGAACCAGTGGTTTTAAAGCAAGGTTTAAGTTTAGGTTTTTATAAATGCATCAGTTCATTATTCTCTATTCCATACTTCAGCAAGAATAGCTTTTTCTAAAAAAAGGATTTGAAAGTAAAATTTGCACACCCAAGCCCAATGAATTCTCTGGGAAAGCTACTGCAATCCTCTCTGCCCTGTGCCCACCCCCCCCCTGTTATTAGCATTACAAATATGCAAAGCAGTGTGGCAGGTGCTATATAAATGGAAAGGGAGAGGGCCAAATGCAGAACAGAACCATAGTTAAAATTTCAAAAGTCATCTATCCTTTTCAAAGTCCTACACATTATTGATGCTGTAGAAACTAGATTAGGACATGATTATAAAAATGCCATAGGCAATGGAAAATAACCCACAGAGATGTTACATGTAGCTGACCTTAATAAAAAAAAAGCTATATTAAAATTAAACAACAGAACAACACACATGTCATCTTTATTCTACAAGGTCTTGAGGGAAGGATTGGCTTTAAATATTCACTGTGCACACGTGTGTATATTACACAAAGTAAATGTGAATTTCACACATAGGTGCTATAAAAGTGCTTTATAGGGGTTTCTGTGACAGTATGTCTAGAGTCTGGTTGATATGGGACTGACTGGTTGAGACAAGTGGGAAGGTCATGAGGAATGCAAGTTGTGGAAAGGACAAACCACAGAGAGTGGTTGGGACAGAAAGCACTCCAACCCTCAGGGCTTTATGAAATCTACAAAGTCCTATTATCTAGCCGTCAGCCACATGACATCCTGAGTCTGAAGAAGAGACACAAGTTTCTGCTGTTTCAGCTTTGGTTTCTTTTCTTAGAATGACAACATCTTAATGTTTTTACCTTTGTGTTAAAAGACAGGGCATTAGGGGCAGTTAGGTGGCGCAGTGGATAGAGTACCAGCCCTGAAGTCGGAGGACCTGAGTTCAAATCCAGCCTCAGACCAAACACTTCACACTTACTAGCTGTGTGACCGTAACCCTAGGCAAGTCACTTAACCCCAACTGCCTAAAAAAAAAAAAAAAAGACAGGGCATTAGCCCTGACATGACAGTCAGACTATTATGAGTACGGACATTCTCTTAAAAATAGTCATTTGTAAATCTGTATTTTATTTGTAAGTTAACTGAATGTAATTAAAAGAAAAAAATCATTTCATATCTTTTATACAAACTAACTTGCCATGTTAATCCTGTCCCTGAAGAATTCTAAAACTACTTAACTGGGGCATTTAACTATTACTTTGCTTACACTGGAATACTGATGCAACTGAATTTCTGACAACGAGCTATGAGGAAATGACATCAGACTGCCTAGGCTGTCAACTTCAGTTCCTTTTTCATTGGACATAAATCCAATTAAGTTTTACTTTACTTTTTTTCTGTATCAAACAATAAAGGACATTATCACAACTCATTCCCAAGAGGTTATTATTTATTCCTAAGAAAAACAAACTCCATTTTTCTTTGCATCAGGAGTAAAAAAATACATGAGGAAATTATACCTCAAAAAAGGGTCCATCTGTAATTTTTAGGATCACAATGAAGGGGAGAAGGGCAGAGAGACATTTGTACTGGGTTCAACACTACACTAAAAAGAAAAGCTTTCCCAGAGTTTTCAGGACACTGTTATGACAGAACATGTTCTAGGACTCCTTGTCTGATTAATTGTTCACACTTCCATCTAGGCAAGAAATGCTGGAGAAGAAAAAGAGAAATATATTAGAAACAAAAATGAGTCCTGAACTTTAATGTAGACATAAGGTCATATATGTAATCAGTGTATACAAGTTGGGTTATGTTTTTGTCCTACAGTATGAAACTCAAAAAACATTCCATGCATAGTCCAAATGTGTCATCTTTAATAATAATAATAGTAATAAAATAACAAACCACTGTTTGCCTAGCCATTCTTCTACTATGGGACATGTGTTGCTTTCAATTTTTTCCACTATTACAAATGGAACTGCTATGAATATATTGCATGAATAACCCATTTTTTTTTCTTTTTAGTTATTTCTTTGGGGTATTTGTTTCTTAAAGTGGAATTACTGGGTCAAAGAATAAAAACAATTTTTAGTTTTTGTGACACATTTTGAGAAAGTTCTCAAAATCTAAATAAGTTTACAGTGCCATCAATAATGCATAAGCATACCTGTTTCTCACACATCCTTACTAACATTGGATTTTATCTTATTATACAATAAAAACTTAAATTTGCATTTCTTTCATTGTCTTCAGGGCTATGCACTTTTCTATGTAAAAGACTTTCTTTTAAAAACTACAGTGTGAAGAAAGGAAAAACAACCACTGATTCACTGGATTATCAAACAATATCAACAGTTTCAAAACCAAAAGCAAAATTTATTTTAAATTTTATTCAGTTTTCACTGAACAAACTTAGTTCCAAGTTGAGATGTTTCCAAGTAGAAATGTACTAAATTTTGGTTTTTAGTGAGGAATTCAATGAAGTAGCCTTTCATTGCAAACCAAAAAATTTGCTAGACTGGATATAAATTTGAAGTAAGACACAGCACATTGACTTTATGCATAACAAAATTATGCAGTAATGTTTTTGTGGGTTAGAGGGGACAAGCCCCAATAAAAGGACCCTGATTCTTGTCTTCTTTCTTTACCTCATACACAGACCTTGAGTCCCATTACATTTGGTTAAGTTGTAATGTAACTTAACAAGGAGACAATTTTTCTCCTTGTCATGTTTTGATTTAAGAACTAAAAGTATTGGGTGGAGGAGGACAGGCAGGTAGGCAGGTAGGAGGTTGTTGAAACTTCTGAGATGTAACTAGCCCTATATCCACCCTAGAAAGAGTACTCCTCTCTCCTTACTTCTGCCTGAGTGAAGGTACCTTTAGATCTGCCTAAATAGAAGAAAGGCACATTAAAGGTACTAATCCCCAGGTATTCTGAATTAGGGAACACAAGTAAATCGGAAAGAATTCTTCCCTCCCCAAATACAGGGACTTGAGCAGAGTAAATCAGAATCATAATAACAGTGTATATATAATTAGGAGAACAAAAATAAATACAGGAATCACAGTAGAATTATGTACCCTAAAGTTCCCTTCCATTACAAACCTCAAAGTGCCACATAAGCAGAAAAGATTTTGATAGCTAAGAAAAATCTTACTTATTTTAGCTTTA